TATGTATGTCCTATGTTTAAAACCCTTCACCTACTGGAGAACTAGGGAAAATCCACAAATTGAGAAGAATAGGGCAAGAAAGAGCCTTCAGAAATGTAGTTTAGAAAGCTTACACGTTTGCATTTTCCTTGCGATACCAGAATTTTTTAACCTAAGTATCATTAATACTTTTCTGTATTTCTATCATTCTATCATTAGTTGATCATATTTGACTAATACTAGCTTCCCAGGTGGCTCAGTAGTAAAGAATCCTCCTGCCAATGCAAGAGATGTAGAAGACATGGGTTCGATCCCTGAGTCAGGAAGACCATCTGGAGGAGGAAATGGCAACCCACTCCAGTGTTCTTACCTGGAGAATCCCAGGGATGGGGTTGCACAGAGTTGGACACGACTGAAGTGACCTAGCAGCTGGAGTAGTGCAGTTATTCTCTAAGTGTGTGTTCAGTTGCTCTGTCGTGTCCAACTCTTTTGCTGCCCTATGGACTATAGCCTGCCAGGCTCCTCTCTCCATAGGATTTTTCAGGCAAGAATACTGCAATGGGTTGCATTTCCTTCTCCAGGAAATCTTCACCTCCCCAGGGATTGAACCCATGTCTCCTTTACTGGCAGGCAGATTTTGTACTGCTGAACCATCAGGGAAGCCCTATTGTCTACCTCAGTGAAAAATGTCGGGAAGGATACAGGAGTGTAAATAATTTAACACCACGAGCAATCCCCATGACATGATCTGGTACTTTGCCCTTTTTTTTCTTGCCCAAAGCTTATCTTCTTTAATTAGTTTTCTTAGTTTAATATTAGTGTCAATTACCATTTCTTGAACATTTAGTGGCCGTATTAATTGAAACCAGCAGCTAGAAGAATTACTTGAAGCCTCTTGGAGTAATTGGGTTGCATCAGTTTCCTTTTGTCTGTTCCAGAGCCCTCAGTGCATACTTCAATTTGAGCACTTAACACATTTTATTTTTATCTCTTCACATTTTACTCTTATCTCATCACATTTCTCCCTTCCACTGGACTGAGCTCCTGGAAGGCAGGAAAATGTCTATGGCAGAGCTTGGCTCACAGGTATTTACCGAGCACTTGACCTGCTGCCCCTGTATTTCCACCACTGTTTTCCAGAAAGCAACCTCCTCTTTCTTCAGTACGGGGTTTCTCACACTCGAGGCCAGGGGTATGTTCTAAGGAGGAGTTTCCATGCCTTATTCTCAAGGTGCTATCACAACTTTTCAGATGCCCTTTTCATTTTATTAAGTGAAAAGACATTGTGACTCATCAGGATGAATACATTAGCTGCATGGAGCCACTGAAGTGATGGTGGTTAACACTAAAGCCCACAAGGCTTCCACAGGCGTGTTCTCAGGGGTCTGAAGGTTCCTGTTGGAGGCTGTGGCTCTCAGGCACAGTTAAGATGCCACCTTATTCTTAGAAATGCCTCCCTCAGTGCTTCTTGTCAAGAACCCTGTAGTATCTACCACTCCGTGTATTAGGACACGTAATGGGATTCCTTCTCTGGCTTTCTGAATCTGTCTCCCTTGCTTTCATAATACAAATTTTTTTCTTTTGAAAAAATTTATTATTTAATTGGAGGATAATTGCTTTATAATATTGTGTTGGCTTCTGCCATACAACAATGTGAATCAACCATAAGTATATATATATGTCCTCTTGAACCTTCCCCCACCCACCCCCCAGCCCATCCCACCCTCTAGGTTGTCACAAAGTACTGGGTTGAGCTCCCTGTGTTGTAGAGCAACTTCCCATTGGCTCTCTGTTTTACACGTGGTAATGTATTATATGTTTCAATTCTGCTCTCTGAGGTCCTCCCACTCTCTCCTTTCCTACCTTGCTGTGTTCAAAGTCTGTTCTCTGTGTCTGCATCTCTATTTCTGTCCTGCAGATAAGTTCATCAGTACCATTTTTCTAGATTCCATATGGTGCAGCATCCACTGAGCTAATTGATTACTTACACATTTGTGTTAACGAGTCTGTCTCTCCTATTGGATGCTGGACATCTGGGCTTCAGGGAACCTACTTATCTTTATGTCCTCAGCAGCCAGTACAGTCGCTCAGCACTGCAAGTGCTCAGTAATTTGGTTAGATGGAATCAGGAGGTAACTATAGCAGGTGCAGGGAAAACACGTTTAAAAACTCTTCTTATACTTTTGAAATGAGACTCATTTTGGTCAATGATTTTTCATTTCTAAAAGTTTTTTTTTTCATTTTTCCCAAGTTTTTCTTACAGACATTTTAACCCATGTGTTTTTAAATGTGATAAGCATAGTTGTTTTTTAGCTTGTGTCTGATTCTGATATGCTTGGCTGTGTTTCTGCTGTTTCTAAGATGACTGTTTCATGCTACTTGGTTTCCTCATGGGCCTGGTATGTTTTAGTACCTGTTGGTCCATGTGTTTTATAAGCTATTTGTTGGAGCTCCCCAAGTTCCAGGATGAGCATCTAGAGAGGTCTACATGTGTTTGCTAAGAAAGGCAGGGCAATTCCAGTCTGAAGTCCCCTGAACCAAGCAAGATGACAGTTTGGTTTGACCCAGTGCCTGGGTCACCCAGGCACGAGGCTCGAAGGATTGGGTTGTGACCCTCATTTCTCAGTATGGGTCCCTGCCCTCCTCTCAGTCTTCCTCTCTCTTTCCCTCCATCCCTCCCTCCCAATTTCCTTCCTTCTTCCCCTCTTCTTTCCAGCAAAATAAACTGGCCTATTAGTTCTGGAAACAGGAGGTCTAAAAATCAACTTAAAAATAGAAAATCACTAGCAACCGAGTATAAGCCTTAAAAAATCTTAAAATAACTCTTAAAATAGTCTTTTTTTGGAGCATCTCTTTTTTTAAAGCTTCTTTTAAATTTGTTAGTCATGCTACATAAGTCATAAGTCAATATAAAATATTACAATATTTCAGGTGAAAAGATCCCCAAGAATGACCCCCAATTATGAAAAGTTTCTGAGAAATGAGTAGCTTGAATGATGGCTAAACTTAATAGAATTTGTTTATTAAACTTGCCATCAAGACATTTCTTGTTTCAAGAAACAGAAATTGAACTTGAGTCAGTTCAGTTCAGTCGCTCAGTTGTGTCCGACTCTTTGCGACCCCATGAGTCGCAAAGCATACCAGGCCTCCCTGTCCGTCACCAACTCCCGGAGTTTACTCAAACTCATGTCCATTGAGTTGGTGATGCCATCCAGCCATCTCATCCTCTTCGTCCCCTTCTCTTGCCTTTGGTCTCTCCCAGCATCAGGCTCTTCTCCAGTGAGTCAGCTCTTTGCATTGGGTGGCTGAAGTATTGGAGTTTCAGCTTCAGCATCAGTCCTTCCAATGAACACCCAGGACTGATCTCCTTTAGGATGGACTGGTTGGATCTCCTTGCAGTCCAAGGGACTCCCAAGAGTCTTCTCCAACACCACAGTTCAAAAGCATCAATTTTTCGGTGCTCAGCTTTCTTCACAGTCCAACTCTCACATCCATACATGACTTAAACAGGCCTAAATCCCAAATTTGTTGGCTCAGTTTGAAAGTCTTGGAATGATGGCTTCAGGCACCGCTGGCTCCAGGAACTCAAACACTGTCATTAGGCAATCTTGTTGGTTCTTTGTTAGCTCCACTCCTTGGCAAGCTCTTCTATGATGGCTTCCAGGAAAGATGGTTAAAATGGCTTCTAGGAATTCTAGACTCAGTCTATGCTTTAGGTCTGTGATCCCCAGACTTTGCTAATTATGCATTCAACAGTGAAATTTAAGCACATATCCCCAATGTGTATATATTTGTTTATATTAATAAAATATATGCTACTATATTGCCACTGTTATTTTATATATTGTCAGTAGAGCTCAATTTTCTTGTTTTTAAGATGAAGAATAAAATAGAAGTACTAATGTTTTCTGTTCTCCCAATGGATGTTTTGCACAGCCCACTTTAGGGACTACTTAGTGGAAAGACCACATCTCTTTCATTGGTTATAATTACAGTCCTGTGTCCACATCTCATTGGTTCTTTTTGGCCTAGGTTCAGTCATGTGCCCGTTTCTGAGTTCAGAGTCCTTGAAATAGTAAAAGCAAAATTTTTCTAGTGTATGAGATGCCAGAAATATCTGACTAGGCATAAATAGAGAGATGATATTTTAACTTTAAAGTGATTTATAGTTTGGAATCTTATAATCACTGAGGCTCCATGGTTCAGTCATGTCTGACTCTTTGCGACCCCATGCACTGTAGCCCACCAGGCTCCTCTTTCCATGGAATTTTCCAGGCAAGAATATTGGAATGGGTTGCCATTTCCTGCTCCAAGTATGCAGATCTTTCTGACCCAGAGATTGAACCTGCATCTCTTGTACCTCCTGCCGTAGCAAGCAGATTCTTTCCACTGTGCCATCTGGGAACCCCCATAATCACTGCTCTATCATGCAAGATACACAATCTTTTCAGAATATAGTTACAAAACAGAGATTCTCTATTTCCATAACAATTTAATTCTAGTACAGTTCAGTTCAGTTCAGTCACTCAGTCCTGTCCTACTCTTTGTGACCCCATGAATCGCAGCACACTAGGCCTCCCTGTCCATCATCAACTCCCGGAGTTTACTCAAACCCATGTCCATCGAGTTGGTGATGCCATCCAGCCATCTCTTAATTCTAGTAGTCTGTGCTAAATTTCTGGGGTTTCAGACCTAGAATATCATGAAAGTATCCCGTTTAGTTTTTGTTAATACTCTAGTAACATGTGAATGGTATATATTAAGATGTTGTAATTGACAAGTCTTGCAAATAAAATCCTATTTTTATAATTTTGATAGTGGCCATTTGGACCAAGATGGATAGCTATATGTAACAGCAAGTGATAGAGGATCCTGAATCCTTGTCAGATTTCTAAAGTGAAAAGTATTTCACTGGTTGGAGAGAGTTTTGCTTTAAGGAATGGTAAAACATGTGAATGGAAAGTATTCTTCAGGAAATTTCAGGCTGTTCAGTGTATTTAAAAATTGACCTTCTTTGGCAGAGATGCAATGGCTCATCTTGATTCTGAGGTGAAAGAAGAATGTCTGAGAGAAGACCTGAGGTTTTACTTCATGAACCCTTGTGAAAAGTTCCGAGCCAGACAACAGATTCCATGGAAAATGGGTTTGCAGATTTTGAAGATAGTCATGGTCACCACACAGGTAAATGATATTATCAGTTCATTTGTTTTTTGTTCTTACCCCAAGTTTTTCCATGTTCTGCCACTCGACTTTTGTCCTGAAAAGGCCATACACTCATGTTCATAAACCTCTAAAATTATGTTGACTCTGGAGGGCAGGTAGTAGGTTGAAGTTCAGTTTAGATGACGACTTTGTTTTAGTAAGGGACTCTGAGGTCATCTCTCACGGGTTCTGTAAATAGAGATAGTGTTAGATCTGAAGTGGGTAGGGTTTCTATAGCTGAATGAGGCACAAGGCTGGTGAAGGCTGCCTGGTCCAAAGTGATCTGTGTTCTTGAAATCTTTCATCTTTCTTCAGATATATCTTATTTAAATATACTTTTGAAGTCTGCACTTTGAACCATTTTGATTTTGGGTTTACAGAGTGCTAATGCTAAGTTTTCTTTTCATCAGTAGCTAAATGCTTAAGTAAACACTCCCCAACCTTACCCACTCCCCGCCTACCTCCCCAGGCAGGCCTGGGTAAGGCGGGGGAGTGTTTGCTTAGGCACTTAGGAGTGTATCAGGAGTGTATAAAGGCTGCATTGGGACTTTTTGCCTAAATTGATATTGTTAAGTATTTTATTATCAATATCACAACAGTCACCCAAGTTGTCACCTAGTTTTTGGGCCTGAACCAGTTTTAGGGAGGCTTCTCCGTATGTGATTACATTTGAAACGTATGTCCTTTAAAAAACAGTACTGATTTGGAATATTAGGCTCCATGGGCAAATAATCATTCTGTCATCAGTGTAAAAGTGTTTTTAAAGATGTAATTTCTGGAACACAAAAATAGATAGCTTCCTAAAAATAGCTCCATATGCTTTAGAAATGAGAGAGGCAGTTCCTGCCATAACTGAAGTTGCATCTTTATTCTTTGTTCATAAAGAGATCTTGTTACTACATGACATGCCGCACCAGCTCATCACATTTTAGAGTAAGCAAGCTACTTCCAAAGAAACAAAGGTGAGAGGCAGGGTCACTCTTAAATGTACATGCTTAGATTTTTTTTCTTGAAAAATTTTTTTCATTTTAATTCTTGGTTTTGAAGTTTTAATTTTGGCAGCCTATAAAGCAGTGCATTGTTAGTATTACTTAAAAGAAAAAATAATGTCCCCTTTTGCTATTTGGTTAATTTTAATTTTCCCCCAACTACTTCTCTTGCCAAACTAGCTTTCAAGTTTTTGATCTATTATTATTAATAATATTCTAACTCACCTAGGCATAAAAGATCACCCTCTTAGACTTAGCATTTTGGTCCTGATAGCTACTGAATTGCATGGATTCATCCTTTAAAACTGCCTCTCCGTATGTTTTGCCATATTCACTATCTTGTCTCCAGCATAGACTCTTACCTTGTTAGTTAATTTAAAATATTGATGTGTATGAAGCACCTCATATGCTCTGCACTGTCTTGGGAATATAGCTGTGAATGTGTTACCCCTGCTGACAGCTCACACAGAGCCTAGCAGTTCCATGTGCTAGGCACAGTAAGTGCTTTATGTGTGTTAGCTCATTTCGGCCTCACTGGACTCCATGAGGTAGGTTCAATTTTTACTCCCTTTGAATAGAAGAGAATACCAAGCCAAAGAGAGTTGAGTAATTTGCATGTGGCCATTCAGCCAGGAGGGGCTTCCCAGATGGCGCTAGTGGTAAAGAATCCTCCTGCCGTTGCAGGAGACGTAAGAGATGTAGGTTCAACCCCTGGGTCAGGAAGATACCCTGGAGTAAGGAACGACAACCCACTTCAGTATTCTTGCCTGGAGAATCTCATGGACAGAGGAACCTGGCGGGCTACAGTCCATGGGGTTGCAAAGAGTTGGACATGACTGAAGCAACTTAGCACGCATACATTCAGCCGGGAAGAGGCAGAGTCAGGGTTGGAGCCCTGGTAGTCTGGCTCTAGAGTCTGCACTCTTTTTCTCATATTGTTTCTTTCCCCATGTAGATCCTCAGAGTTTGCCCTTGAGAAGTACACATAAGTTAACCAGGCTGCTTCTGGAATTCATCTTATGCCTACCTTTCTTATCTCCAAACCTACCAGTCCATTCAATACTCATGTTAGATTAATTTTTCTTAGAATGCTTTTATGGTATCTCTTCTTCTCAGAAACTCCTGTGGAACTGTATTTCCCATACATCTAAATTTTGACTCTGTGGCCTGAAATTCACAGATTTCCATAGTCTCTCCTTCAACTTGCCTTTCCAACAGGTTTTCATTTCCTGTTTCTTCCCCGTGTCCCAGCCAGATGGACACACTCAATGATTCTGGCCCCTGCCTTGTTTTTCCTCCAAGAACAGAGGGCCTCTTTTCTCCCTCATCTTTCAGTTGCTATTTGAAGTCCACCTCCCCTACCAGCCTTGCCTGATCACTCAACGTGTGGTTTTTCTTTGTTCACTAGTACCCTGTGCTGGCTACATCACTACTTTCACTTTTAATAAAATATTTCTGGGACTTGATCATTTACTTTTTGGGTGGGTCTGCCCTTTTTGGGTGGGTCTACCCTACCTCCCGTAATAAAACTGAGGTGGTTAAACCTGTATTTCCCTGTAGGGTCATTCTAATAAATTTTGCTACTTGGGTGATATATAATTGGAATGGAATTCTTGAATATCTTTCTTTCCTTCAAATCCCACTTTCCCCTCCTCTTCTTTTTCTGTCTCTTTTAGCATTCCATTCTCAAGTCTAATGGAATGGGTGGTGTTTTGTCAAGGTTGATGGGAAAGAAACATCTTTTAAAAGACATTCCTACTCTGCATTCTGCAGTAATTTATAATCTCGAGAGAGGTGTCTACATTCTTTTGCTAGATCTGCTCTTTTCTTCCCGTATTCTTTGTATATTATTAGAGTGGTATCTTGTTTTTACCTGGCACAGAATATTTTCTCCTCCATTGATTTCATAATCAGGTCTTAAATTCACAATTTTTGCCAGGCTGCACTTAATGTGTGATTATTTTTCTGTTTTATAGTCTCAGCAAATCTTAAAATCTAGTTAGTGGGTCTAGAATGAATATTTTTGTCATTCCTTTCTTAAAAATAAATCATTTGACCAGTCCTTCATCTTCACCCTTGCTCTGTAGTGGACCAGCCCTCCATCATCTCTTCACTCTTGCTCTGTAGCATATGTTTAATTCTGCCATAGTAGGAAGGGGACCTCAGGATCTCCTCCCCAGGGTTTCTCTCTAGTGAGATGCTTGGGGAATCCTACCTGGACCTGGTTTGAGGCTATATATATGGATCTTGACTTGTTCTATGAATAATAGTATGGAGGGAATTTCTTGTTCTTGATGCCAGATGGGGGTGGGTCCAAGCAGAGATTATACCTCCATATTCTCTTATTCCCAAAGTTGAGGTAATGGGCTTTGAATCTAAATAAGGTGGTGTTGGTGTTAATTGCTCAGTCGTGTCTGACTCTTTGCAACCCCATGGACTATAGCCCGCCAGGCTCTTCTGTCCATGAGATTCTCCAGGCAGGAATACTGAGGTGGGTTGCCATTTCCTACTCCAGGGAAATAAGATGGTAGCTGAAAATATCAGCACATTGAATGCTGCTGTGTTCATCAAGTTATTGACTCCCCATTTACTTTTTGGGTTTCTTTAGCCTAACTATGAGTGTGGGAAGAGGGACTCTCATGTCCCCTCTTCTAGAGTTAAGTTGGCAGCTTTTCAGTTTGAGAGGTTGTATGGCCAAGTGGTCAAGAGAACTAACAGGTGAGTCAAACAGACTTGCTGTCACACTTCTAGCTGTTTCAACCTGGAAAAAGTACCCAACTTCAGGTTGCAAGTATATAAAATGAGATGGACAGACTCAGTACTTGACTCTGACATTGTGATGGCCACTATTCCAGTTCCTGAATATATGTGCATGTGTGTGTGTGCTGAGTTGTGTCCAACTCTTTGTGACTCCCATGCACTGTACCCACCAGGAATTTTCCATGGAATTCTCCAGGCAAGAATACTGGAGTGGGTTGCCATTCCCTACTCCAGGGGGATGAAACCTGAGTCTCCTGTGACTCCTTCACTGGCAGGTGGATTCTTTACCACTAGCACCACCTGGGAAGCCCATTCATTTGTGTATCAGTACGTAATAAAACCCCCAGCCATGGTATATTGGTCCCCTGGTTTACTTTTTTAGCTTTCCTTTTCTAGCATTTCCTTGCAGGCACCATTGATAGACATCACGCGCTTGAAAGAACTTTAGCCTTTGGTTGCTTGATTTTCAGCACAGGTTGGATGTTGTGGGACTTCTTATCTATCTTCCTTAGAACAGCTGGGTTTAGCAATTGCTCAATCTTTTGACTTGGTATTTGAGGAATGTGATCTGGTGAGGCTCAGATGCTAAAGAGTGTCATCTGTGTACATTCTTCAACAACAGTTGCAGTTCTGGAAAGTTAGCACCTAGATTCTTTCCTTGAAAGGGAGGCCCAAAATCAGAATTTTCTGCAGATGAAAATCACGCAGCATAACAGAAGTGACTTTGGAGTTAGACGTGGCTTTCATTCTAGTTTGGTGACATGGGCAGTGTAATGAGAGTAAATCTCAGTTTTTACATATGTAAAGTGGGGTTAACAGAAGTAACATTTTCATAGTGTGGTTGTGTTAGTAAATGAGATATTGCAGGTAAAGCAGTTAGTACAGTGCCTGGAGAATACTTGATAAAAAGTGATAACTATTTTACATTATTTAGCCTTTTAAAAAAGTCAGACAAAATTTGAAAACTAAAAAACATAAATCACTAAAGGGAGTATGTAAGTTTGCGTGTGCAAATTAGCATCTGTTCATCGGAAAGGTCTAGTAATTAAACCATGGAGTGACCGCAGGTAACACAAATGTCAAGGTCATCTTGTTGAATTTGCTGGTTTCACATGACAACAGAGTCCCAAATTGTTTTGGTGACTTTAGCAGGGTAAAGGTTTGGGGCAAATTTTCTGGACTCTCACTATCTTAGAAAGCAGATGAGGAGATAAAGTGGGGAGATAGAGAAGAGTGTGTGGGCCAGGGTTTATAAAGGTGTGACTTCTACAGTTACGTGTGTGTGCATGAGAGAGAAAGAGAAGCAGAGCACTTGTGAGACTGTATGTATGAAAAAGGGTATGTGAGATAGTACTTATGGGAGTGTGAGAGCCAGTGTGCAAGAGAGTGTGAGAGTGTCCATTTGCGTGTGAGTGGAGAGAGAGGCTGTGTGTGTGTGGAATGTCTTGGGTTTGGGGGTAAACATTTAGTGCCTGCTAATTTCCCCTCCTTATTAGATTCTAAGAGGAAAACTTTAAGGCAGAAAGAATACACTCAATCCTGTTGAAGAGAGCCTTTGGCATCTAACCCTGTGCTATGATACAGTTTAAGGGGAGTAAGTAGAAGTTCTATTACAAGAAGATGGGTGCTTGGTGACAATGAGTGTGTTTGGCATCACAGAGGTAGAGGGAGCCCTGTTATTCTGTGTGGTGCTTTGATGCTGTGGATCTTGGAGGCAGGAATTCTTAGGTGTAAATCTTATGTGAGTTCTTGCAGAGCTAGAGGAATTGAATTCCTTTGATGACAATTACCTCTTAGCCGGAGGAAGTATTATATCGGCCACTTTCAAAAATGTTTTTAAAAAGTCGCATGCAAAACACTTATGATTTTTAAAAATGTTTGCAATTTCTAAATGTCAGATCATTTGGATTTGACTATCAAACAGTAAAGCACGAGAATTAGTGGTTTACTAAGTATGGTTGAACATAGCAGGCTTGAACCACACAGATTCACCTTTACATAGACAGAGATATATTTCAGTAGTAAATACAACAGTGCTACACAGTCCATGATCCACAGTTGGTTGAGTCCTTGAACCCTCAGGGTGGACTATAAATCATACTTAGATTAATCCCTATATTGTTCAAGAGTCAGATGTACATCAATTTTGAAAACCATTAATTTGAAATGCAAGTATAAGAAAAATGGATTCATATTAGATAACCAAGGACCTACTGTATGTCATAGGAAAATATACTCAATATCTTGTGATAACCTATAATGGAAGAGAATATAAAAAATAATGTATATATTTATATAGATGTGTAATTGAATCACTTTGCTGTACATCTGAAACTATTACAACATTGTAAATCAATTATATTCAATAAAAATTTTAAAAAGAAATAAATGGCATATCTATTTTAAAAAAAGAAAAATGGATTTAGGCTTAACTTTGAATTTCTCCTTTCTCTTCTCCTCTGTCATTAAAGGCCAGTAAGGGTATTAGTCATTGGGAGTGGTCACTTCTAATTTTATGCTACTTCAAGTTGCTAATGTAGCTTGATGAGGTTGTTTCTAGGGGGAAGAATTCTTGTCTTTTGACATTGATGTGATTAACAAAAACCAAAGCAGTGAGATTTTTCTTGCTGATGTTTATAGGTGAGGGTTAATGATAGTAAGAGGGCATTTGCCGTCCCTTGAAAGTGGTAAAATACATATATTTCTATTTGATTTTCTTTCCTAGCTTGTTCGTTTTGGTTTAAGTAACCAGCTGGTCGTTGCTTTCAAAGAAGAAAACACTGCTGCTTTTAAGCACCTGTTTTTGAAAGGATATTCTGGTTCAGATGAAGATGATTACAGCTGCAGTGTGTATACCCAAGAGGACACATATGACAGCATCTTTTTTGCTATTAATCAGGCAAGTCTTTTGTTGCGAATTATTAATACCTAAACTTGAAGAATATATTGATACCTGACCTTGACCTTGACCTGCTGTCTTAGCAAAAAAAAAAATTATATGTATATTCTGGTATATATAACATATTAAGATATGTAACATATTCTGATTTAAATTTTGCATAGTCTGCCAAAAAGTGTTTATTGCTATTTCTGTAGCTACATTTCCATACAATAGATTTTGCCAATTTAAATTTTTATTTTTTAAGATTTATATTTGTATTTACCCCTTCCTACCCACTTCTATTGGGAGATTACTTTATCCCAGATCAAATAGCCAAATAGCTAAAAACAGGCTTACATTCTCAGAAGGTTTGAGGAATGAGAGACCAAATCTAAGATTCTAAGTCTCAATTTTGGTGTTTTAGCATTAATAAGCCTAGCTGAACCCTAAGAATATGGAGTAGGATATGACATATCTAGACAGTATTGAGAAACCAGATTGGTAGGCCTGAAGAAAGTATTTAAAGGAGAGAAATACTTATTCTTTCTTGTTCATTCATTCATTCATCCATTTACTCAGTCCATAAATATTTTGGTACCTGATATATACCAGGTACTATTCAACACACTGGGGATACATCGTGAATAAAAGAGACAAAACCCGTGTCCTTATAGAACTTAATTCTAGAGGCGAGAGCCAGGCAAATGAAAAGAAGTGAAATAGTACTAAATGCTGATTCCTTGAAAACACCACTCCACCAAAAACAAACAAACAAAACAAAATATATTGAGAACAAAACTAAATTCACTGCTAACAGTAGTAACAGAGGTGCTCCCTTGATTATTTTCCGTAGGGTGCAGAGTGCAAGCTCCAGATACAGATTTTGAGGTCTGGTTTAAGGCAGATCTTTCAGTGTGAGGGGAGCTTGATAAGAATTGGGTAAAGGTCATCATATAATAGTTTAGGATTGGTGGATATAGCAATCCTATATCCCCAAACCCCTGTGAGCGTTTGGGGAGGTATTCAAAGTCTTGGAAGTTGTTAGACTGAATCTTCAAATCTGTCATTTGTTTGAGGTTTTTCAATGTTTCTGAAATAAACAATACAGTTATTGTTTTTAAGTTACTGGGGAAAAGTTTCCTGGAATAATAAATCCATGTTAATAAAGACACTTGTTCAGTCGCTAAGTTGTACCTGACTCTTTGCAACCCCATGAACTGCAGCACACCAGGCTTCCCTGTCCTTCACCTATCTCCTGGAGTTTGCTCAAATTCTTTTCCATTGAGTCGGTGACACCATCTCATCCTTTGTCACCCCCTTCTCCTCCTGCCCTTAATCTTTCTCAGTATCAGGGTCTTTTCCAGTGAGTTGGCTCTTCACATCAGGTGGCCAAAGTACTGAAACTTCAGTTTCAGCATCAATCCTTCCAGTGAATATTCAGGGTTGATTTCCTTTAGGATTGACTGGTTTGATCTCAGTGTTGTCCAAGTGACTCTCAAGAGTCTTCTCCAAGACCACAATTCAAAAACACCAGTTCTTTGGTGAGATGGGGGCCAGTAAAACCCTGTTAGTGCAGATAGGCAGATGGGAAAGCTGTGTTAATGTAAGCTGTCGGTGCAGATGGCTTGGGTCCTCAGAGGTATGTGGAAAATGATAACTGGAATAAAGCAGGCGAGGAGACTGGACTGCCTGTTGATGCCTGTATACCAGAGATAGATGTTTATAATTTTCACTGGGTGATAAGGACAGGCCTCCTAGAGGCAATAATATTCGCATCAAGGTCTGAAGTGAACCTTGCAGATAGATAACTTGGGCTTCTAGGCGAAGGCCACATCAAAGGCCCCAGGCGGGAGTGTACCTTGAGAGTTCCAGGAACTGCGTGGAAGCTCACAGGGGTTGGGAGGTGGTGGGTGGAGCCAGTGGCCCAGAGTGGATTAGGAGGTCAGAGAGATAGGCAGGACCTTGTCTTTGGCTCTGAGTAGTTGGGAGCCTCTGTCCACATGTTTACTTTAGTTTCAGGTACTGTGGGGCAGTGTGTTTTTACTCAACCCAAGAAAATTACCTTGTGGTATTTTACTTTTGGGGAGTTCTGTTGAGGAATATGAGATAAACAAACGAAAAAAAGTTAAATATATGTTCCATGTGCTGTAACTTCTGATGAAACTTGTTAGGCTCATAAGTATTTTTATTTAACTCTTTTTAATAGTTTCATCGGCTAAGGAACTTATCTCTGGGGACCCTTGGTTATGGAGAAAGCGAAGACAACAGGATCGCTTTAAAAGTCTGTAAGCAGCATTACAAGAAAGGGACCATGTTTCCTTCTAATGAGACACTGAATATTGACAGCGACATTGAAATAGGTAACGCAATGGTAATTTCATTTCTTGCCTTTATCATCTTCTGTGGTAAGAATGAAAAACACCCTCGTGCACAGGCAACCCAAATGAAACCACTCAGCTAGTCTGTTTGAGAGTTTGACATTTGCCTGCCAAGGGCTTTGGCTCAGAAAACTGTGGGTCTGCTGTGATTGGACCAGAAACATTTGTGGATCTCTTTGGTGCAACTCAAGATTGTTGGGCTTAGGGTAAATGCACAGGTATTTCCTGTCTAAGTTTTTTTCTCCATGATGAGATGATTAGGCTTTTTGAAACCAAACCAAACAAAACAAAACAAAAGTGAGTCTGTATTTGTTAAATGGCATATTGTGGGTTAAAACGCTTGGTATGCTTGCTTTTGCATACGCACTCATGCCCAGCCCTTCAGTCATGTCTGACTCTTTGAGATCCTATGGACTGTAACCTTCTAGGCTCCTCTGTCCATGGGATTTTCCAGGCAAGAATACTGAAGTGGATCATTTGTTAAATATATTAATGCTCTTCAAAGGAGAATTGTGATTAATAACTCATTTTCTCTGGAGATCGTTTGGCAAAAGTTAACATCTCATTAAGTAGAATTGTTTTATGACATGCTGTTAAGAATTTAAGAGCATACCATATGTAAATGCAAAGTATTTGACTTGAGGCTCTGGAGATTTTGTCATTCATTCAACAAACCTCTGGTGCACAGTTTCCACACCTCAAACATTCAGTGTTTTATGAACTAGGGCTAGGGTTGCAGAGAAAATCTGTCATGGCTCCTCAATTAGCTAACAGGTCAGGAATCAAGGTCCTAGTAGCAGTGTAAATTTGGAGTGGTTTTATTAAAAAGAGAGCTTCATAGTTCATTTGCCCATATTTCCTGTAACTTGATTTTAAGGTGTCTTGGTAGTATAATAGAGGGACATCCATATAAAACAAAGCTTCTCATGCTTTTTTTCAGCAGGCTATCAGTTTAGAATCTTTCACGAGTAAATGTGTCCTGTCCTCTTGCCTCTAAAATGAACAGCCCCAAGCCAGCACTGTCAGGCTGCTTCCAGAGACCCATCAATAGCTAGTTCTGTGGCCAGCAGCCTTATCTTACTGCCTCACAGGATCTTCTTGGAGAAGGAAATGGCACCCCACTCCAGTGTTCTTGCCTGGAGAATCCCAGGGACAGAGGAGCCTGGTGGGCTGCCGTCTATGGGGTCACGCAGAGTCGGACACGGCTGAAGCGACTTAGCATCAGTGGCAGCACAGGATCTGCTATCCTGGGAGCTGTCTTGTAGTCAGTCTGCAGGGGCTGATCCAGATTCACCCTGAATCTTTTTCCTGAGCGGTCAGCTGTGCTCCTGATCTTGGGCCGTTCCTGTGAGTGTGATGAGAGTCCTGAGAGGCGGAGCTGAAAGCTTGTCCAGTGACCCTCCTACAATAAGCTACTTACAATAAACTACTAGCCACGTGTCCTTTTAAAAATGTGAGACTTAATTGGATGAATCATATGATTGTTTTCCAGTGATTCTTATGTTTTTTTCCTCAATTGATTTTTCTTGGAAAAATGATTAAAGAAATGTGGCCAAAGTAGGTATCAGTGACTAGGTGAGACATAATGCAGAAAGCAGGATTTATTCCCAGACTATCAGGCAGTGGTGTTCTTGGTCACTTCCTTTCTATCACATAGACCATTTTTAACCAAATAGAGAGAAGTTGATTATTAACTTGACTTTAAGAGACTGCTGAAGCCAGCTGATTGTATCTTTTGAGTTATTAAAAATAACTTGTCAAAGAGAACTTTTTGATGTATCTATTCAAAAGGTGTAAAGATATTCTTAAAAACACTTGATACTGGGTTTTAGAGTTTCTGGTCTTAGACACCTTGGAGGAAGCCTGCAGACAGTATAAATACGGATTGAGTTTGACTTTATTGGTGTGGTGTTATAGTTTAAGGAGGTGAATTAGCAGAAGCTGTCCTAGGTGACTAATTTATGAATATTGCAGTATCTTTCCAATTAAGAGGAGCATCCTTCGGTGCGTTCAGTGCAGAGATCTGCTGTACACTGCTTCCCCGGTGGGTTTATGTTTAGTTGCATGACTGATAGAACAGTTCAAACTAAGGGTTTCCCTTAATTCATGCTGAGGGTATATCCCCCCATCTACTCTAGACATGTCGCTTTATTATTCAGCTTCACTGGAGACTGTTGTGAATCCTGTTAAAATAACTTTTTTAATTACAACATTTAGATGGGTATCATTCTAATATGGTGCTTCACTTTCTATACTGCATTTTGAATTTCTTAAGTTGTCCTTTCCACATATTCTTAACATGAAACATTATGACCACTTCATCATTCAGTTCAGTTCAGTTCAGTCGCTCAGTCGTGTCTGACTCTTTGTGACCCCATGAACTGCAGCATGCCAGGCCTCCCTGTCCATCACCAACTCCAAGAGTCCACCCAAACCCATGTCCATTGAGTTGGTGATGCCATCCAACCATCTCATCCTCAGTCAACCCCTTCTCCTCCTGCCCTCAATCTTTCCCAGCATCAAGGTCTTTTCAAATGAGTTAGCTCTTTGCATCAGGTGGCCAAAGTATTGGAGTTTCAGCTTCAGTGTCAGTCCCTCCAATGAACACCCAGGACTGATCTCCTTTAGGATGGACTGTTTGGATCTCCTTGCAGTCCAAGGGACCTTCAAGAGTCTTCTCCAACACCACAGTTCAAAAGCATCAATTCTTTGGCGCTTAGCTTTCTTTATAGTCCAACTCTCACATCCATACATGACTACTGCAAAAACTATAGCCTTGACTAGACGGACCTTTGTTGGCAAAGTAATGTCTCTGCTTTTTAATATGCTGTCTAGGTTGGTCATAGCTTTCCTTCCAAGGAGTAAGCATCTTTTAATTTATGGCTGCAATCACCATCTGCAGTGATTTTTGAGCCCAGAAAAATAAAGTCAGCCACTGTTTCCACTGTCTCCCCATCTATTTCCCATGAAGTGATGGGACCAGATGCCCCATGATCTTAGTTTTCTGAATGTTGAGCTTTAAGCCAACTTTTTCACTCTCTTCTTTCACTTTCATCAAGAGGCTCTTTAGTTCTTCTTCACTTTCTGCCATAAGTGTGGTGTCATCTACATATCTGAGGTTATTGATATTTCTCCCGGCAATCTTGATTCCAGCTTGTGCTTCCTCCAGCACAGTGTTTCTTATGATGTTCTCTGCATAGAAGTTAAATAATCAGCCTTGACGTACTCCTAGCCCCTGTCATTGTAAGAACATACCCATTCCACCCTCCCTTTGTCTCTGGGACGGTTGTTGCTCCATCTGCTCGAGTGTTCTGCCCTGTAAATGAGAAGTGTTTGAATGATGAGGCTGCTACTCCCATACAAGTTTGTTCTGTTTGAAGTTTGATAGTTTTTTTACTTAGGGCTTTTGCCATTCTTAAAAAAAAGACTCAGTTCTTAGGTTTTGCTGCCACCAGGTGCATGAGTATAGCATAAGGTAAGACAGATTCCAGAGTTCTGAGTGTGTGTGAATGAAGTGTAGCTCTATTATTACAATGAAAGAATCTGAATAATCAAGTAGACTTTTATAAGGCAAATTTTACAGATAGTATTACATTGACTAACATATACTGCCACATTTCTCTGAATCTAAGATGTCATCAATTTTAAAAAAGACTCATCGGTTTTAAAACCAATTAAAAGTGACAAAAATTAATGTCTTAGAATGAATGAAATACAGCAGAAAAAGACCTAGGATAGTATATCCGGCACACAGATTTTTAACATATTACTCCTCCTTTCAGAATATTGTCATTTACTCAGATCAGTTTAATTTAAATGTTATTTTTTCCTCTTCCTTTAGAATAAGTATGTTAGAGATAGAAGGGCCTTAAATGTCCTCAGTTTGAACTTCACTTTACAGGTGAGGAAACTGAGGCTCAGTCAGACTTGGTGATGCCGTGATCTAGTGACCAAGGGTCCTTGCTTCTCCAAGCCCAGTGACATGGAGCTCACCTGGGAGCTTGTGAGACAGGCAGAATCTCAGGGCCCCTTAAAGCTGCTGAGTCCACATTTCCATCTACACACATGAAACTTGGGAAGTACCAGCTCCATACTCCCCAGCTGAAGGCCTTGGACTTTGCACAGATCTCTCTCTTACCACCTTCACACATTTTCTACCACCCATCGCCATCGGCCTTCAGCGTGCCCTGTACATGCTGGGGCACCTCTGCCCATCAGTACGCCGTGCCCTGCTGCACTTAATCTCTCAGTCGTGCCTGACTGTTGGCAACACTATGGACCGCCAGGCTCCTCTGTCCGTGGGATTCTCCAGGCAAGAATACTGGAGTGGGTTGCCATGCCCTCCTCCAGGGGATCTTCCAGACCTAGGGATTGATTCCAGGTCTCCCGCATTGAAGGCGGATTCTTTACCAGCTGAGCTAACAGGGAAGCCCCACCCATCAGCATGTTCCCTTACAAAAGCCGCTGGGGCAGGCACTTGCCTCTCTCACTTCTTTCTCTCCTGAATCCTCCCAACCATCACCAGGGTCTTCCAGCTGCTGATGCCCTTGGAGAAACGTGCCACCATAATCCGCAAGCCCCTCTCCACTCCCTGTCAGCCTGGTGGTACAGAGGTGAGGCCGTAGTCAAAGGCCCCCCCCACGGCACCAGGGCCCACCCGTTTCAGCTTTCAGAAGTCACACCCCTCCTGTCTGAGCTCAGTTCCTCCCTGAACTCCAGACTCCTCCTCCACTCACCCCACTGTGACTCGACTACTAAGGATTTCAAACCTTTTGCGTTCAAACAGAACATTTCAAACCTCCCCCGCTCCTCCCCCCCACCCTGTTTCTTTCTTACTCTTCCCCATCCGAGAAAACGAAAGCAGTGTTTCCATATCATGCCATCATATTTCCAGTTGCTCAAGCCCCAAACCTGAATGTGTTGATTTCTGCATTTCCATTGCCACCTCTGTACTCCAAACCTCCGTCGTTCTTGCTTGGATCTTCACCTACTGCCCTGTCCCTCGGCAATCAGAATGATATTTTTTTAAAACTTGGGGAAATGGAGTCATATCATTCCCTGGCCCAAAATCTGTGAGTGGCTTCCTGTTCGGTTTAGAGCAAAACCCTCAAGTCCCTATAGTACTGGCCAACCGTCTGCCTCCCCTCAGGCCCTCATACCCACCCCTAGTTCATTGTTCCCACCTCTTTGCTGCTTGTTAAACAAGTCAAGATCTTTCTGACCTGGATCTTAGTGTCGCTTAGTCGTGTCTGACTCTTTACGACCCCATGGACTATAGCCTGCCAGGCTCCTCCATCCATGGGATTTTCGGGGCAAGAGTACTGGGGTGGGTTGCCATTTCCTTCTCCAGGGGATCTTCCTGACTCAGGGAGTGAACCCGGGTCTCCTGCATTGCAGGCAGACTCTTTACTGTCTGAGTCACCAGGGAAACCCCCAGACAAGTCAAGAGTTTTCTGGCCTGGATGTTAGTGCTCACTTAAAAAAAAAATTTTTTTTTTAGTTGGAGGGTAATTGCTTTACTGTATTGTGATGGTTTTATCCATACATCAACATGAATCAGCCGTGGGTATACATATGTCCCCTCCATCCTGAACCTCCTTCCTGTCTCCCACCCTATCCCACCCCTCTAGGTTGTCACAGAGCACTGGGTTGAGCTCACTGCATCACCCAGCAAATTCCCTCTGGCTATCTGTTTTACATATGGTAATGTGTACATTTCCATGCTATTCTCTCCCTTCGTCCCAGCCTCTCCACATCCACAAGTCCATTCTCTGTGTTTGCGTCTCCACTGCTGCCCTGCAGTGGAGCTTCATCAGTACCATCTTTCTAGATTCCATACATATGCCTTCATATACAATATTTGTCTTTCTCTTTCTGACTTACTGCACTCTGTACAATAGGCTCCAGGCTCATCCACCTCATTCAGATTGACTCAAACGAGTTCTTTTTTATAGCTGAGTAATATTCCATCGTATATATGTACCACAAGGTTTGTTCTGTCTGGAGCACTCCCCTTGGATCTGTGCTCAGCTGAGGTCCTTCCTCCTTCAAATGTCAGCTCAAACAGCCCCAGTGCCTCAAAGCCCCTCCCCAGCAGTTCTCCCCAGGGAGGGCCACCCCACCCTCTGATCCCCCATGACTTTGCTCTGTCTTTGCAGTCGTGTGCATACTGTGAAATCGCCTTGTGTGTATTTTTCATTCTTGGTTTATCTCCCCCACTACAGTGTAAGCTCCATATGGACCTTGTCTATCTTGGTCATTGCTGTCTTCAGTGGCCTGGCCTCTGAAAGCTTTCAGCAGATATTTACTGAGCATCAGGTAGAAAGCTGGGGTCTCTTGAGTTTCTGAAATAGAAGCTCAGGGGTCAGCCTCATCAGTGTACTGGTGAAGAGCTCAGGCTGTGGAACTGAGCACATGTGGACTTAAATTCTGGTTGCCCGCCAGCCAGCTCTGTGACCTTGAGGAAGGTTCTTGGCCTCCCTGTGCCTTGGTTGGTCCGTCTGTAAAACGGCAACAATAGTGTCCATCTCATCAGATTGCTTCAGGAGTTAAACAAGATGATGCATTAAACAAGAGAACATATTAAACCCCAAGCACAATGCCTGGCAGAGAGTAAGTCCCCATATGTGTTTGCTATTTTCATCATCATGAGTCTTTTTCCATAAAAAGTAAGTTTCTTTTGATTATCTAGCCTCACTGTATCAATCAATGCCCAGGCAGGAAAACCAACACTGAATTGCTTCTCGACCCTAATGGTCCATTTGCAGAACACTGGGAGACACCCCCTATGACACCTGCCCTTAAATATTGTGGCTGTTGAATTGTCCACTCAGGTCCATGTCCTCAGTTTTGGACCAGAATACCTGATTTTCATAAAATGTAAGTGTATCCTCCATAGTTTGAGTGTCCTATATGCTGAGCAGTGTTTAACAGCCACAACAGTTATGCCCTTGCTCTCACAGACCTTGTCCTCTAGTTGAGGGAATAGATAAGCAAATAAAGAGTCAAATTGTGGCAGAAGATTCTCAGAGAACATCCCACGGGCCCTACCCAGATTCTCGAGCACCTAGCTAGTGTCTGGCATTGCAGAGGCCCTGACTTTCCTATTTTCGAGGCGGTGCCAAGGTACAGCAACAACCCGGGTAAGAGTCGGCCAGGCTGGTTCACACCAGTTCTGGCATCAGGGCTGGATGGCCTTGAAAGGCATTGACCATGAAAGGTGCTCATTGTCTCCAGGCCTCCTCAGTTTCCTGCCAAGGTGTTAGGCTACAAAACAATGAGACTAATTTTTATGTGAAGGTCTTGGAATCATTCTTATATGGTTTACAGCTCCTAATTCGTTTTTATTTGAATACAGTCTAAGTTCCTTTCCTCTCTCTTAATTTTTTTCTTTGGAAAAAGTATTGGACTAAACAGAAAGCTTGCCAGCTAGCACAAAGATGTCCTTGTATACCTTTCATCTAACCTTCCCAAATGCTAAACGAAGGTACTCAACCAAAAAAGTTAATTTCACCACATTTGCTTTATCATTCTTCCTACATATAAAAATTTCTCCTGAAACATGAGAATAAGGAACAGACATGATGTCTCTGCCTCTAAATACTTGTATAAAGAAAGAAAAGTAGAAGTGAAGTGTAAGTTGCTCAGTTGTGTCCGACTCTTTGCGACTCCATGGACTGTAGCCCACTAGGCTCCCTCTGTCCATAGGATTTTCCAGACAAGAATGCTGGTGTGAGTAGCCATTTCCTTCTCCAGGAGATCTTCCTGACCCAGGGATCGAAGCTGGGTCTTCTGTATTTCAGGCAGACTACTGTCTGAAGCACCAGGGAAGCCCAAAATACTTGTGTTTCTGTCCCCAAACTGTACAGTGTTCAAAAACATGAGTTAACATGGACACAACAGTATAATCTACAAAGCCTATTCACATTTCATCAATTGCCCTAATAGTCTCTACAGCAAAAGCCACACCCAGCTTTCTGATCCAGCATCACATACTGTACTTAGGTGTCATGTATCTTTAGGCTCCTATAATCTGGAGAAAAATGAAATTTGGGGCTTTTTTGTTTTTATGATCTTAACATTTTTAAGGAGTAGAATGTCCCTCCCTTGAATTTTCCTGTTTCTTTGTAACTGGACTGAGGTTATGTATTTGGTATGGAAATGCCACACAAATGGTACATTATTTCAGGAGGCATATGATGTGTCTTTATCTCATTCCTAATGATGTTAACTTTGATCATGTGGCTAGGGTGGGACCTGCCAGGTTCTCCACTGTAAAGTTACTGGTCTTCCTGTTGTGATTAATAAATATTTGAGATGCTTTGGAACTTGGTGAGCCTCCTGCTTCTCATCACACTTTGGCCTTCTGGTTTTAGCATCTGATTCTTACCTGACAGTCACTGTGGTTCTTTCATGGCCCTAGACTGCATTCACCTAGACCTCGAGGCCCTCTCCAAGGACACTAAGGACTGGAAGAATTCATCGTTCTTCAGGCTGGAATTTTATCGGTAAATACATTTTTTTTAATTAATTTTTTTCAAATGTATTTTTTAATTGAAGGATAATTGCTTTACTGAATTTTGTTGTTTTCTGTCAAACTTTAGCATGAATCAGCCATAGGCATACACGTGTCCTCTCCCTTTTGAACCTCCCTCCCATCTCCCCCCCATACCACCGCTCTGGGCTGATACAGAGCCCCTGTTTGAGTTCCCTGAGACGTACGGCAACTAGAGAAAGCCCGCAAAGCAGTGAAGACTCAACACTGCGCCGGCTTTCTCTAGTTGCGATGCGTGGGGGTTACTCTCTAGTTGGGGTGCAAGGGCTTCCCATTGCACCCCAGTGAAAAGCACGGGCTCTAGGGCACGGGCTTCAGTTGTTGCAGCATGTGAGGTCAGCAGCTGTGGCTCCCGGGCTCGAGAGCACAGGCTCAATAGCTGTGATGCACAGGCTTCATTGCTCTGTGACATGTGGGATCTTCCCAGATCACGGACCGAACCCATGTCTTCTGATGTGGCAGGTGGATTCTTTACCACTGAGCCACCAGGGAAGCTCCAGTAAATACATTTTTAAGTCTCATTACCCAGGAGACAGGGATGGGGAAGGGAGAGTAGGGTAGGAAGACTGTCACAATTTATATCTAGTAATATGTTTTTATTCAGGCTCTTGCAAGTTGACATCTCCTTTCAACTCAAAGGCATTGACCTGCAGACGATTCATTCCCGAGAGCTTCCAGACTGTTACGTCTTTCAGAATATGGCAAGTGTCTACTTCACTAAGCCACTTTTTATCCTTTTCCTTGACTCCTTTTGTAGGTGCAGAGTGTACAATGTACCTCCCTATAGATGTATTAGACAAAAGTGTGTTTAAAACAGTTTGAATGACATGCTATAGCATCGTTGGTCCAGAGGCTGTGACTTCTAAAAATGAGGCAAGCCTGTTCCAACTTTTTAAAGCTAGATTTCTGGGTTGAAAAGAGGAGTTTTCAAAGTGGACTTTGACTTCCTACTCTCCTAATACTTTTTTTAAAAAAAGTTTATGACCAGTGCTTTAAGTGTCTATGTTTTTCCTGCTTTCTAAGGAAGGTCTTTGCAAATGTTGTAGCAAATGTTTTCAAACCTCAAGGCAGAAACTGCCCCCTTGGTCTGAAGGCCAGTCTGCAAAGCTGCAATTGCTGCAGCTTTTATTTTTGGATGGGCGGCCATGTGCCATGGAATCCTTCCTTCCTACCTTCTTTCTTTCTTCCCTTCTTTCCTTCCTTCCTCCCTCTTTCCCCCTTCCTTCTCTCATGTTTAGTGATGGGCAAAACTGAATGCTAAACTGGATGTTATGTGTTGTTGCTGTTTTAGCAGTTTGGAAGTGTGGTTCATTTAACAACAATCACTAAGTGCTCGCTGAGTCCCTACGAGGCAGCAGGCAGGGTGTCATGCTCTAGAGGTACCATGGCCCTCAGGAAGCTTATACCCTAGTGGGAAAGATAGATAGAAAAACAGGTCAACAAAGAAATAAATTATAAATTGTGATGTGTAAGTAGGGAAGAATGTCTGGAGCAGAAAGTAGCATGATTTATATCCTGGAGTGACACGCACATTGCAAAACGCATTGTGGAATCCAAGGTGAAGAGCTTGGAGATCTGATCATGTAGGTTCAGCTATGATTGAACCCATGATCACATCTATGATTGAACCCATGATCACATCTATGATTGAACCCATGATCACATCTATGATTGAACCCATGATCACATCTATGATTGAACCCATGATCACATCTATGATTGAACCCAAAGTGAGCATCTTTGAGCACAAACCACGTGCATGCTACACATTCTCAGTGTAATCCAAGAATGTCTCCATGACCAAACCAGAGATTAGAGAATTAAGCTATACAAACCTCACTTCTGTACCTATGAGCTCGGACTAAACTCCCACTAGTCCTGCCATTCAAGGCTTCATTCCCTCCAGGAAGGCCCCAAACATGCTTCTCTTAAGTCCTAACATACTCTGTATATGTCACTTATATACTTTAAATGCTTGATATATAATGTGAAAGATTGAGGGCATTTGGAAATCTTAAATTCAAACCATAACCTTGGAGCAATCTTTGCCATATCTGAAAACATTGTATGTAACACTTCTGAAAACATTATATATAGTGCCTGAAGCAAATAGAAAAATAATCTCTAGCATAGTAAAAGCCTAGAATCTCATACCCAAAGGACTAAATTGAAGCAAATGCTTATAAATTCCACTCAGGGTAATAAATGACATCTTTGTGTTCTCTTGTCAGAAATTGGTGGTGAATTCTCATTTTCGTTCCTCAGACCAGTTGGCTGTTTTGCATTAGGGTTTCTCTGAATCTGAATGTGGGTTTAGTAGAGTTTCATGTATACACCCCTTGAACCAGCATCTTTTTGGCACCAAGGACCAGTTTCGTGGAAAACAATTTTTTCACAGACGGGGGGAGGCAGCACTCAGGAAGGATGGTTTTGGGGTGATTCAAGTGCATTACACTTATTGTGCACTTTATTTCTCTTATTATTACATCCATCAGCTCTACCTCAGATCATCAGACATTAGATCCTAGAGGATGGGGACCCCTGCTTTGGACCACAGTTTTTCATTAATAATAGGCAGTTATGAAGGAATCTTGTGATGAGGACATTTTCATTGGTCTGATTCTTTTTGGATCAGCACACTGTTTGGATGCCACTGATGTTTTAAGCAGAACTGATCTAACGTGTCATAACTTTCTGCTGGGTTGTAACCTCTTCATCTGTTTGTGTCTCTAGATTGTCTTTGACAATAAAGCTCACAGTGGCAAAATCAAAATCTATTTTAACAGTGATGCCAAAATCGAGGAATGTAAAGACTTGAAAATCTCTGGATCTAGTAAGTATGTTACATGTTTGTCCATTGTGGATTGTGAATGATCCTTAACACTTCATTTGGGGATTTTGGGTATATAAAGGGTTTACTTGGATGATAAGAAGAAGAAAGAGCTCCAGAAAACCACACTTTGAATGTTTGCTTCTGTCAAGCATACTCTGAAGCTTTGCGTTTTTGTTCAGTTCAGCGAATGTGGATTATAGACCTCGTAGGAGAGGTTGTGTTGCCCAGAAGTTAGGAGCAGTTCCTAGAGCCTGACTGCCTGGGCTTGGATTTTGGTTCTGCTTCCTGTGTCTGTGATCTTGGACAAATCCCTTCGCCTCTTCACGTCACCGTGGCTCTCTGAAGAGTGAGAGTAACAGTAGTGCTTACTTCCCGGGATGCTGAGTAGTCAATGGATGACCGTGTTAAGCGAGCACGGAGAGCCAGTGTTGGCAGACAGTCATTGCTAGCAGTCTGGGACAGAAAGAAAACACCTTTGTGAGGGACGCTGACGTGCTTAGACTAGCTTGTCCTGGGTCAGAGTAAGTGGTGGAGGCACAAGATATGAGGGTCCGGACAGCAAAGGTTCACTTTGACAGGGCCAGAGCGGGATGCACAGCACAGCAACACTTCTGGGAAAAGGTCTGATTTGCCCTGAGCCTGTGACAGTGGGGCAGAATCAAGGCCTTCAGAGCCCAGAGAGCAGCCTGTACAGACCTGGGTGGGTTACTCAGTCCTTACTCATAAGACACTTCTTGACCCACAGGCTAAAATGGCCTCCCGAGACCCCTTTCTCGTTGAGGGGTTTGGATGATGTTAATGATGGGTGGTCAGTGTTTTTTCATTTACAAGTTTTGTTTAACCGAACCGGCCTTGGACCAAATCTTAGAACAAAATAAAATGTAAAATACTTGTGGTTCCTGACCATTTTGTATTAGTTTTAAATTAGACTCATTTTGTGGCTTTTCAGCTATATAATACGTGTGTGTGTGTGTGTGCGCGCGCGCGCTCAGTCATGTCTAACTCTTCGCGATCCCATGGACTGTAGCCTACCATTCCTCTGACCATGGAATTTTTCCAGGCAAGAATACTGGAGTGAGTTACCATTTCCTCCTCCAGGGGATCTTTCCCACCAAGGGATCGAACTCACTCTCTTGTGTCTCCTGCATTGGCAGGTGGGTTCTTTACCATTCATGCCACCTGGACTGATGATTCTGAAGTTTCGGCTTTGTAGTTCGATTCGCTGACTCAACCTCTGATCAGAATACACGCTTTTAGTTTCTGTTAAAAAGTGGTTACTGCTCCTCAGCCTTCTCCGTACAGAAAGGCACAGACCAGATGTGAATTTTCCAAGTCCAAGTGTAGGCTGCAACTATTTTATGTGAAGAAAGCTAACCCTTGTCGTATAGGAAATGTGGTTTGGAATAGTCATTTGACCAAATAAGTTAGTGAAACAGGTTTGCCAGAACCCCGTTTCCTTCCTCCCCACGGCGCGCTGACCACACTGGCAAGTTTTCCCTGAGCCTTCACTCAGAAGAGAGGAGCTCTAGCTCCCTCTTGTGGCCAGTGGGGAGAAATACAATCTCACATCTAGAAATATTTACATATTCTTCTTCCAAAGCTGCACCGTATAAAATCAGATTCCATGACCAGAACAGAGCAAATTTAAAATAATGTGACAAGTCTTAGAAAGCTGAAGTTTGGAGAACAGATTAGAAAATGGATTTTTTTTTTCTTCTATGTAGGAAGCTGTCTGGTGGATTGATTGCCCTGGTTTTGGGGGAGGGGAACAAAGGCAAAGGTTACATCTTAGGGGGTCCTTGTGCTATTTGCAAAACATTCTGAGATTCGTTCACATCCATGCACTTCCCTTGACACTTCTCTAGCTTTGTCGTTAATTGTTGTCTCAAGGTGAAATAAAAGAAGATATCCAAAAAAAAAGAGAGGATGACCATTTTCACATACAAAGTTGCCTTTTACGACTTCTAATACCCATTCCCAGTACATCACTAACCTTCATGTTAACTTGATTTGTAAATGTAGCCAATTACATTACATTACATTAACATCCCAGCCATTGAGCCTGGGAGCTGGAGGGGATGTGTACTGACAGGCAACACTCCCCATCGACAGGTGATGTGAATGAACGTCCCGGGGGAAGGGGTCCAGTAAGTGTGTGACGCGTTGGTCTGGGTCCCGCAGGTGGCAGTGGTAGTGTGTGGGGGACTTCTCAGGGCCCTGGAAGGACTGGGTGCTGGGGTAGGATTTCCCTAACCAGGTTGCCAGAAGCAACTCTCTGGACTAGAGTTTTGCAGACCCAGTTTTGGGAACTGCTCTTGTGGAAATAACTTAGTGTCAGTAGAATAACAAAGCAGTTATGATGTTTGGGCTTCCCTGGTAGCTCAAGTGGTAAAGAATCTACCTGAGTTGGATCCCTGGGTCAGGAAGATCCCCTGGAGAAGGAAATAGAAACTCACTCCGGTATTCTCGCCTGGACAGAGGAGGCTGGTGGACTATAGTCCATGGGGTTGCAAAGAGTTGGACATGACTAAGCTACTAACACACACATGATGTTTATAAAATACTTTTTATAACATATCAAACTAATCTCAATAAATCAAATTTTAAAAATATAATACTTATTTCTCTGTTATGAGGGGTGATTTATCTTCTTAGTTCCAGGTCTCAGTTTTCTTAACTGTAAATAAGGCCCAATTCAAGCAGTCTTAGAGATTTTATTCCAGTTATAGGTCAGAAAGGAAGGTACTAGATGCTGTGCTTGCATTTTTTTAAAAAAAGATTTCAGCCCCATCTTTCCAAGAACTGCCCCTATTCTCTCCAAAAAAAAAAAAAAAAATGGTGGTCTTGGATTTGGTCAGGTTGTGTTCTTACCTACCTTTTAGATAGTATCTCAAGATAACTTAAACTTGTGAAGTGGAAAATGCTAAAGAGGGAGGTGAGTGCTCCATGTGAGACACTAACAAGGATCATTTGCCTGATTTCCTGACAGTGCATGAAAATGCTACAGCTATGCTCCCATGTGGTACCCAGGGCACCCGAAGCTGAGCAAGGCTAGACAACTCACTCAGTGAATTATATTTACTATCTGGCCATACACATAACCCACTGGATGAGCTGCTCTCAGACACATGTCGAGACTGCTCACGCCATTATTATCTCTAAATCTGTGGACATGCTCCCGTCTTCCTTTACAATGCCTTCTCTGCAGAGGTGTCTCTGCAGAGACCCTGACTTCAGACATTCCTGAAGGTTGCCTGTCCCCAATCCTGCATCCTGCTCCCCTGGCCTTTCTCCATCTGGTTCCTGAGTGTGTCTCCTCTCCTAATTCCCAGACGTTGCCACCCTGCTGCCCGCAGCCCTCATCCTTCCTAGTCTGCATTCCTGTCTGCAATCTCTGATTGGCTGGAACCCATGGTTTTAGTCGCCACCAAGTCGTCCTCTCTTGTCATGAATGTTCAGACTGAACCAGTGGACCCAAGACCGAAAAGAGGTCGTTCTCGATCAGTCCTTCCTTACTCCCTAAGTCCCACCGAATCTCTCTTTTTCATCTCTTGCTGCCTTGTGCCTTATCCTGCTGTGTCTTCTCTGCCTCTGACGTTGCTCAAACCTTCACAGATTCCAACTTAGGTTATCGTCGTCTGCTTATGTTCTGCTGGGATCACTGTACTGATCTGTAAGCATGCTGAAGCATTATGCTAAGCACAGGCATTGTAGTGTTGAACAAAATAGATCCAGTCCCTGCTTCCCAGAACCAGTAATGTAGTGGGGAAGATGAACATCGAATGGTATCCTAACTGCTGTGTTTGTTATTATGTGTATGGGGCAGTTCTAGGTGCTTTCGTATATGAACTTACTGGATCCTCATGACAGCCCTCTAAAATAGTTTTTTTTTTTTCATTGTACCCATTGTTTTGGATGAGGAAACTGAGGCAACTTCCCCAAGACTCCACAACTTCTGAGTGCAGAGTCGAGATTCAGAGCCAGGTCTCAGGCTTCAGAGATTGTCCTTTTTCATTTTATACTGTCTCTGTGCGCCTTGCTGCACTGTCTTTGAATATGCAACTACAAGTTCAGTGACCATCAAGCAAAGGGGAGTAAATGGAGCTATAGGTGTGTATACCTGTGGACAGGGCTATGATAGGGTTTGGAGGGAAGGGTTAATAGGGATGGGAATTTAGGGGATTCTGTTCTGAGGAGGAAAATACTCAAGGCTGAATAATCCCTGGGCGTGATGGGGAGGGTGCTGTTCCAGGCAGAGGTGCAATGTCCCTGCGAGGAGAGAGGGAGAGGGAGAGAGAGAGAGCGTGGAGCAGGGAAGAAGGAAGACCAGAGTGGCCTCAGGGTGGAGGACCTGGGGGCTGGGAGAGAACAGCAAGCTGCCAGTGACGAGAGCCGTCGTTGGGATTTAGGTCAACACCACAAAATCTGAGAGAAGCTCAGCTTACAGTTTGGTCTTCCTCTAGTACACTCCCTGTGCTACTGGTGTTCCGGGATCCAGATCTCAATGCTCTGTGGTGACTAAATGTGAAGGAAATCTTTAAAAAAAAAAAGGAGGGGGGAATGTATGTATATGTACAGCTGATTCATTTTGCTATACACTTTGTAAAGCAACTATACTCCAAAACAATAGAGACACAAATCTGGCTACTACTCTCTGTACTTTCATTCCAAGTGGTTGTTTTTCCCACATGTAAGAAGAGCTTATTGAATTGGCACTCTTTGCTGGGAAAGTGAGTAGTAAGATTGAGAAGCAGAAATGGGGACTTTGAGTGGTGGATTTTAAAATGTTTGTGCTGTGCCTAGTTAGTTGCTCAGTCATGTCCGACTCTTTGCGACCCTGTGGACTGTAGCCCTCTGTCCATGAGGATTCTCCAGGCAAGAATACTGAAGTAGATTGTCATGCCCTCCTCCAGGGGATCTTCACAACCCAGGGAAGCCCTTTAAAATGTTTGTTCCCTCATTAATGGAGAACTTATGTTTTTGATTTTGTGTGAGAGAACTCAAGAGTATGTCAGTAGTTTTGCCTCTTTTGAATAGGGTCCAAATGGACCACCTTCTATTGAATTCTACTCTACAGTAAATATTTATAAATACATTTTAGTGTATCTGTTAAGAATGTATATGTTTTTAAATGTATAATTCGACATCAGGGAATGATTGCCTTGTTTGGGAACCTCTGAATGAATGCAGTGTAATTTGTTTCTGATGTTGAAGCATTTATCATTTGATCTTATTTTCCAGGTGCCATTTTGTTTGGAAATTATTCCCAAGTAAGGTGTGTTTGACGTTTGAATTCTGTTTTTGTTTCTCAGTTCAGAAAAACACTCAGTATGTCCTGGTGTTTGATGCATTTGTCATTGTGATTTGCTTGGCATCTCTTATCCTGTGCACAAGATCCATTGTTCTTGCGCTGAGGTTACGAAAGGTAAATGTGTGTTGGAATATTCTCCCTCCCTTCCTGACCTCGGCTTTCAGCTTGTCCAAACAGTAGGGCCTTGACGTCGGGTTATCCTGCCCTGTCTGGGGCCTTGACTAAATTAAATTCCTTTGAGTGATTGTCCTCCAACAAGGCATTAATCAACCTGGGGTGTAGAGAGTGAGTCCAAGTTCCTGGCATGTCAAGTAATCAGACAATTATCCTGCTTCAACCTGAGCTAATAAACACAGTTGCACAGCAGTGAACTTCTCATGATTTTGAATGCTTCTAGAATAAATGAGACCCTTTTAAATTCAAGAGTGATCTTAAGAACAGGGTAATAGCTTGTGTGGGTTTCATCTTTTGTCTTCAGATCAGAGTTCATTTTGACAGGAAGGCATGGTAAATGGGTTATAATGATGCATAAGATATGTTATCCTATGTTTAAAAATAGTTTTAAAATTCTCCCCTGAGGTTCCTTTTACCTTTTTACCCTAGGACTCTCGTGACCATATACTCTAGCACAAATTTTATCCCGGTGTGTGGCATGTGTATAAACACAGACTAGGGTCAGTGGAAGTAGGAAGTCATCAGAATACCACACGTGGAGCAAGAAAAACGGTCTTCATTCTATTTTCTACTTCGTGACCTGTACCAGTTTATTTTGTAAATACCCAGTTCTCTTACCAACCAACCCCACCCCAAGTCCCTTGATATTCTGAATCCAGCATCAGGGTCTGGGTTCTGCCAATGAGTGTGGGGCACTGGGAGCCCACACCCGGGAGCTGGGCCGCCTGGACTCAAGGCCTGGCTCGGCTGTCCCGTGTCTCAGTTCTTTCCTCTGGAAGGAAGGGTCCGTGGCGCCTAGTTTGTAGGGTTGTTGTCTGGTTGAATGTGTTGGGAATATGTCAGGCGTTTGGAATGGACTCTGTGTCAGCTGTTTCAACCAGAGTCTGTTGGAGTGAGAGCGCGGCATTGGGTGCTGGAGTCACTCAGTTTACTGACATGCTCGCCTCCAGCCGGGGTACATGGTTGGGGGGGACGTGTGGGCTGTTATCTGTACCCTCCAAGTGAGAATCCATCCTGTTGGAAAAGGCAGTGTCATGCCATCGGACTTGAAAGAGCTCTGTTCTGCACTTTTTTCCTTCCAAAGGCCAGTGCAGTTTGTTAGAAATGCTTTTTTTTTTTTTTTTTGGCTGCAGAGATTCGTAAAGTTCTTCCTGGAGAAGTACAAGCGACACGTGTGTAATGCTGACCAGAGGGAGTTTATCAACCAATGGTATATCCTGGTAATTATCAGCGACCTCCTGACAATAAGTGGATCCGTGTTAAAAATGGAAATTAAAGCCAAGGTGAGGGCAAGCTATTTTAAATCTTTGGTTCTTTCTATTCTTTTGGGTGGTCTCACATACTCTTAAGATATGTAGTGATTCTCATGTTTTCTCTTTTCTCACATCCATAAAACTGAAGCCTCCTTTGACCTGGTTCTTGGTGAGTGGAAAATGAGGAGGTGGATGTTCTGTGGAAGGTGATATTCCCGTGAATGTCCTCTCGGGAACTTGGCAGCATCTTCAGAATAGGAATTGAAGTGTGAGAGGATTGATTGCTTGGTCAGGCTTTATTTATTTTTTTAAGTTGCAAAAAGCAGCCTCTGACCCTTGATCCAATCACGTCGTGAGCCAGGGGTGCTCACCCATGACTGATGGGGGTTCTGAAAGAGGTTTTACTTGAGGATGATTTGAGTGCCTCTAGTTGCCTGGCCCTTGGGTAAGTTAGTTGATTTAGTCTCCCAAGTCTTGACTCCTCCCCTCGATGCTCTGCCATCAGCTAGCAAATCTATACCAGCCTTCCCTCCTGACCTCTAATACCTCCCTCTCATCCATGGCAGCTGCTCCGCTTCCTTCAGGCCATCTTCCTCTCTGGTCTAGATCTTCTCATTGCTGCGGCTCCTCCTCCCGCCACAGCTGTCTCCTCACTGTTGCTTTGCCTTCAGCCTTGTACCCCTCGGACCCATCCACCCAGCCGTCAGAGTCATCTTTCTGGCGTCTGTCTTGCAGTGACAATCCTTTCTGCCTCAGAAACCCCCTCTGTGATGAAGTGGCCTTCCTTCAGTGTGGTCTCCAGGGTCCCCATCGTCCAGCTCTCCCTCCCTCTCCCGCCCTCGCTTTCTCTGGCCTGTCGTGTGGGGCCCCCGCCTGAGGCCCTGGCTCAGCCTCTGTCGACTTGCAAGGCTCTCCCGGCCCGTCCACCAGACCCGCCACTCTGGGGTCACACCCGTGAGAGCCCTGTGTGACAAGTCCAGCCCTGTGCCTCTCACTGCACATAGCACATTATATTAGAACTGTGTTTGTGCGTGTGTCTCTTCAGTTAGACCTGGGAGTCCTTGAGAGCAGGAACTGTTAGCACGTCATGCTGGGGCTTTCTTTTAAAAGTGTTAATAGCTGGAAAGTATTGTTTGATATTTAGCAAACATCACTAGTTTATGTGCTTTAATGCCTAAGTCAGTGGTAAACGCAGTCTCTAGTTCAGAGTATTGTTTGAACAAAGATTTAGTTCAACAAATTGTAATACTAAAAGGAAATGAGAAATGCATTTGGAATTGTGCACTCTTATTAATTTTCTTCTTCAGTTTAAAAACTCTTAGAATCACTATAGAGAGGCAGGCAGATCATTCTTTTCCAGTCAGTTTCAAGCGAGGTTCCTGAGCTGAGTGGAATAGAATATTTTACTAATACGTCTGTTTTTTCATTTCCTAGAATCTCACAAACTACAATCTGTGCAGCATTTTGCTTGGAACGTCTACGCTCTTTGTCTGGGTTGGCGTCATCCGATACTTGGGTTACTTCCAAGCCTATAATGTAAGGATGTGCGGCACCACTGCGATTCAGATCCATTTCTTTGGGATCTATTATCTACTTTTTAATAACTCCCATTCTGCTGTTTTGTGTTTTTTATTTTCAGGTGCTCATTTTAACAATGCAAGCCTCGTTGCCAAAAGTTCTTCGCTTCTGCGCGTGTGCTGGTATGATCTATCTGGGTTACACCTTCTGCGGCTGGATTGTCTTAGGACCATATCACAACAAGGTGTGTAGTCTAATTCTTCCTCCTGCATACAAGGCACTTGGGACCCTTAAAAGTGGGTTTCGGGACTTTCCTGGCAGTCCAGTGGTTACGACTCCACACTTCCAATTCAGGGGGCTCAGATTGCACCCCTGGTCAGGGAACTAAGATCCCACAGTGCTGCACAGCATGGCCAAAAGAATAAGTAAAATTTTTTTTTTAAAGTAGGTTTCTAGCATTGACCTTCATCCCATTTCTCTCCAGCACACATGCTTGACATCAGTGAACACATATCTTTGCATTCGTTTTCCTTTTCTTTCCCTTTCCTGGATGTTGAAGTGACTTTAGGATATTAAAACAAGAATGGCAGGAAACCGGAGACCACATTTATTTCATGGTTGTCTGGGTCTGGCTTAAGGGGTCACATGTTAACCCAGCTGGACACCACATAAGAAGTGTTAGGACACGAGATCACTATAATAAAAATGAAAGTTAAGTAAGGAAAAGCATTTCAAAATCTGTCTAACTCAAAGGGTTACAGTTTTCATCCAGATTAACTGAGGAGGATGGAGGAGGATAAAGACTGCCCAGAATGACCACGGTAGTTATGATTAGAAAGGTAACACATCTTGCCTTTGCAGGGGGCTTTGATTTCAGCATCATCTTACTGCCTTATTAAAGTTCAATATCTGAATTCTCAACTATTACTGGGCTGCTGTCAGTATCATAATTTCAGGGACAACAAAGTTATGTTCAGATGTTCTTGGTTTTTCTTTTTAAATGATTTTATTTATTTAGGGTCTTCAATGCTGTGTGGGCTTGTCTCTGTTGCAGTGAGCAGGGGCTTCTCTCTAGTCTTGGTGTGTGGGCCTCTCATTGCCGAGCACAGGCTCTAGAATGCTCGGGCTTCGGTCGTTGCAGCACCTGGGCTCAGGAGTTACAGCTCCCAGGCTCCAGAGCAGGCTCAGCAGCTGTGGCCCAGAAGCTTGGCTGCTCCAATGCACGTTGGGATCTTGCCGGACCAGGGATGGAACTCACATCTCTTGCATTGGCAGGTGGATTCTTTAACACTGAGCCGAAGCTCTTGGGCAAATCTTAGATTCTAGTTTTCTACACACATACCTGGTGAGAGAGGCCAGGATCAAGAAGCCTGGGAGCTGGGAATCCTCAGCCATAGTTCTGGCTCTGCCGTCAAAAGCTCTGGGGCCTTTCGCGAGCGTCTCAACTTTCCTGAGACTGTTTCCTCCCCTTAAAAATGACTGGATGCTCGCTCAGTTGTGTCCAACTCTTTGCGACCCCATGGACTGTAGCCCACCAGGCTGTGGGATATCCCAGGCAAGAGTACTGGAGTGGGTTGCCATTTCCTTCTCCAGATGCTCTTGTTTTAAAATGATAAATTTGATTCAAAGATATAGCAGGAAATGAAATTTGGTAGGCTTTGTTTTCAAACCAAAAAAGTAAAAGCAATGATTGCATCTTATAGTTTTTTTTCCCACAGGCCTTTGGCAGTTGGGACAATAGAAACAACAAAAATAAAAATAATAGCAGCTAACACTTGAGGTAATGCTAAGCGTTTCTCTCTTCTCTTTCATTTAATTTTGTCACCAGCCCAGGGTACTGTCATCTTGACTTAGATGTCCTACAAGGAGAAAAGTAAAGATGTAAAGGATTGTATTGACACTAGTATATACAACTCAGCTTTAAATCTTGACCTTGATAGTCGCATTAAAAAAAACCATGATCAAATCTGGTTTATAAACTCGTCACAAAAATTGAGCAATCCATAAAACTCAAACTTTTGGTATTGTCCTACTAAAATAAATCCTAGTAACTTGGAATCTACCTAGACTTTCTCCTCTTTAAGCATTACATCTAATTTGTCCAAAGAGAATTACCATTTTCCTACTTGAGAAACTGTATAGTCAACAAGGTGACCACCTCTGGGTTATTAGCAAATCTTGATCATATTACTGCTCTTCCAGTTCTATCCCACTGATTTAAAGGTGACTCATCAGTAAAAAGTGTTCTTTGATATGATCTCTCTGATCTGGAGAATTTACTTGGTGCCTAGGAAAATTAACTTTTTTCTTCCTTACTGGCCTCGCGGTCTGAATGCTTTGCCACATTTTGGTCACTAGAGGGCAGTGTTGCACCATGTGGAATAAATACTGCTCTCCCGCGGCCGGGGAATTTATCCAGTGGTCCTGTGGCGTTAATGGCTCTCTATCTTCCCTGGTAGCACCCCTGGTAAAGAACCCACCTGCCAGTGCAGGAGACTTAAGAGACGCGGGTTCGACCCCTGGGTCTGGAAAATTCCCTGGAGAAGGGTATGATGGCAACCCACTCTAGTATTCTTGCCTGGAGAATCCCCATGGACAGAGGAGCCTGGCGGGCTACAGTCCCTGGGGTCGCAAAGAGTCAGGCACACATCTTCCCTATCCCATCATTGTTCTGGAAGATGCTCAGAAATGTTGCTTTAATTTTACTAAGCTAGCTACCATTTCTCAAGTGCTATGTGCTACATAGTTAAAGTGCCCATGTTCTTTACCTCCCTTGTTCTGTTAGCCCTCCCGTTAACCCTGTGAGAAATATTATTATCTTTTGACAGAAAATAAGGATCTTAATACGTTAGATTCCTGGGGTTGAATAGTTAGTGAATGGCTGAGATAGGATTCACACCCAGGTCACCTTTACCTTAATACACATCCTTTGACCAATAAGCTGAAGGCTTTTCTTCTTTTCTTGGCATTACCTAAAACAAATCATTACAAAAGAGCATTTAGTCTGACTCAAGAGTGGCCCAACCATGAGAGGAAAGCCGAGTCATCAGTCTTATTTCTTTCAATATGTGTCAAGGTTACCTTGTGAATGATGGTGTTCTTTGCTTTGTGAGTCTTGACTGTATTTTCATATCTTCAGTTCTGTCCTTTCAAAGAGTCCAGAGGATCAGCACTATCCAAGAAAAATATGAGACCTACAGATGAGAGCCATGTCTGCACTTTTAAAATTTTTCTAGTAGCCACGTTAAAAGCTTTTTTAGAGAAATGGATGAAATTGAATTTAATTATGTGTTTTATTTAACCCAGTATATTTAAAATATGACTCCAGCCTGCAGTCAGTATAAAACATTGAGATATTTTACCTTCCTTTTTTAGGCACTGAGTCTTTGAGATCTGGTGGGCATTTTGTCCCAACAGCACATCTCGGTCTGGACTGGCTGTTGATCAGATGTTCCATAGTCACCGGAGCTGGTGGTGGCCACATTAGACATGTCACCTCTTGGCTTACGTCTCTTAGTTAATGCCAGTCTGTTACTTCTCCCCTGGAGGAGTAGAGAGATAAGAACTGTATCTCTGGGGTTGTATAGCAGGTCTGTTTATGGCTTCTATCTCCCATTCCTAACCACGCTGATACATTTGGAAAACACAGAGTTGAGTTAATTCAGTGGATGCATTGCTCAATAGTCAGAGAAAACCTTCACTTTGGTTCTGGACTTCTGTTTTTTCTTCTCTATATTACTTCTTCTTTGAGTCTAAAGTTAAAATTGTTTACTACCCCTGCACATCTCTCTCCAAACCAATCCAAATGGTCAAAAATTTCAGGTTCTGCCAGTCAGTCACTATCTGTTGAATCAGAAGACCTTCAAGTATTGCCTGAAAACTTGAAAAATGGCACCATGGCGAGCATTTTCTAGAATTTCTAGAATCACGGCTTGCTTGGGTGTAGAAGCTCAATCGTTCTTTAAACAAACAAACAAAGAAAACTCTAAAGAAAAGGTATCAGAAAAACCAGAATTTCACCCTGATGCTGTCTGGCAGCAGGAATCCCACATTTTAGCTTCTGGGTTTCCTGTTAGACATCGGATTTCAATGGTTCAGCTGAAAGAGAATAAAAATACAAGTGTCCTGCCGACGTTTACTCCAGCACTAATAGACATTGGCACAACGCCCTTTCAAAATGTGTGAGCTTGGCGGGCTGGAGCCTGTTGCTGTTTAATAATTCAAAAAGGACTGGAAGAACATAACTCTAATGTGGCTTTGACGTTTCCAGAGCACTTTCTGAGGAATATACCACAGTCTTGCATTTATTGTCCCCATTTTGCAAATGAAAAGACAAAGCATTGAAAAATCACTGGTCTTGGCTGACACCATTGCTCAAAGTTCAGTGGACCCTGAGCTACACCTTCTTGCTTTCAAGGCCTCTGGTTTTAGCCAAGCACCTCTCTTATTCAAAACAACTATTAGCCGGTTACAACATTTTATGTGAATGCTACATGAGACTCTTAGCACCAACTCTTGAAGCAAATTTTTATGTCACTCTCTGACATAAACCATTGCAAATTGTGCTTTCATTCACATGAAAGTTCTTTTTGGCTCAATTGAAAAATTATCATTTGTGGAACAAATGCTCGGGTTTTCACTGTGGTAGCCTGGAGCCCTTGGAGACGTTTTATGGAGATATCCATTTGATATTTGTTCAGCATCTACTGTGCCCCCGACACTCTCCGATTCTTCTAGCCCAAATTCTTAGAGGATGGGACCGTGGATTATTGCTCTTTGCATTCCTCATGTCGCGTGTGGTACATAGAACATGGTAAAGGGCTCAGCAAGTTTGCTCAATGACAAGAAACAGACATAGCAGAACCTGCTTTCTGGGGACTTATACGCTTGCAAGAACCAAAGCAATTTCCTAGGAATGCATTTGTAGCCTGGAAGCACATTAGCACCTTATTTCTCTTTACCTTGGGTATTTTTTTAAATCTCTATTTTTAAAAAATTGAAGTATGGTTGATTTGGAGAAGGAAATGGCAACCCATTCCAGTATTCTTGCCTGGGAAATCCCATGGACAGAGGAGCCTTTCGAGTTACAGTCCATGGGGTCATAAAAGACACAACTTAGCAACTAAACAACATAATTGATTTACAGTGTTTCAAGTGTACAGCAAAGTGATTCAGTTATACACACACACACACACATATATGTATTCTTTTTCAGATCCTTTTCTGTCATAGGTTATCACAATATATTGAATACAGTTCCTTATGCTATATAGTAGGTCCTTGTTGTTTATCTGATTTATATATAGTAGTGTGTATCTGTTAATTCCAGTTTCCTAATTTATCCTCCTCCCCTTTTCCCTTTGGTAACCATACGTTTATTTTCTATGTCTATGACTCTATTTTTGTTTTGTGATATAAATCATTTATATTGTATTTTAGGTTCCACGTGTATGTGGAATCCACATATAAGTGATATCATGTGATGTTTGTCTTTCTCTGTCCAATTTACTTAGTATGATAATCTCTAAGTCCATCCATGTTGCTGGAAATGGCATTATTTCATCTTTTTATGGCTGAATAATATTCCATTATATATATATATATTCTTTATCCATTCATCTGTTGATGACATTTGGGTTGCTTCCATGTCTTGGCTGTTGTAAATGCTACAAACATTGGAAAGCACATATCTTTTTGAATTAGAGTTTTCTCTGGATATATGCCCAGGAGTGGGTTTCTGTATCAAATGGTAACTCTAGTTTTTTAAGGACCTGCCATACTGTTTTCCACGTTAGGTATTTTTAAAGCTCGTTTATTATACTATGGATCTTGGCCACTGAAACTAGCTCACAGCCACTTCTTATGGTATGAAATGGTCGAGTATGTACCAATTACTTACCTTACTAGGTCTCTGTTTAACTTTTTGGCGGGTTAAAATAAATCTCACACGCCCAGAGAAGAGGAAGATAAATAGCGTTAATGCTGAGATGCATATTGTGTCCAAATTGATTCTAAGTAACTGCACGGGAAACTAAGGGATGAATTTGCACTGTGCCCACCAACTCGCAGTTCTGGAACTTGAAACACAAACTGCTGGAGGCTCTTGACACTAAAGAAAGGAATTGGCCAGTTTCCAAGAGAAACTCTGAGAAATATGGATTTAAAATTCTTTTAATTAATTAATTTTCGGTTGTGCTGGGCCTTCTTTGCTTTCCGCGGACTTCCTTTGGTTGTAGTGAGTGGGGTCTACTCTTGGTTGCGATGCTCGGGATTCTCACTGTGGTGGTGTCTCTTGTTGCCTTGTGAGGGCTCTAGGACACACAGGCTTCAGTAGTTGTGCACATGGGCTTAGCTGCTCCTTGGCATGTGGAATCTTCCCGGACCAGGGATCAAACCCATGTCCCCTGCACTGGCACATGGATTCTTAACCACTGTGCCACCAGGGAAGTCCTGAGAAATAAGGATTATTAAGGGTGCTGTCAGATGTGTAATTGATGTTCATGGAAACCAACTTGAACTACATTGTCTTAAGGCTAGTGGTGGGGTGGAAACTAGTTACTCTGGGAACTGCCTGTCTTATTATTAAATTATCTGCATATTAATAAGTGATTTGCTCCATGGATGTTCCCTCCAGGGCTCTGTGGAGAGTGACTTTAGTCCAGGTCTTCAGAGTTGTTGCCGATGTAGCAAAGCCATGGGCATGATTCTTATTTGGGGTATGTCTGTATGCTCTCCCTTGGTTACAGAATTCACCCCGTGAATCTGTCATGGACTGGGAGTTTGCTAGCTGGTTGGGGTACAGAGAAGTGTGCAGACAACAATTAGAAGACCAATCAGTCATTTCTTCTGTGGTTCTTACTGATGTAGAGAACAAACTAGAGCTGCCAGGGCAGTCTGTCTTGATGTAAGACTGAAATAGCCCTTCAACACTGGCTCCATTGGGCAGAGACGATGATGGATGTACCAGATGAAGAGAATAAATCCCATGATTTAAAGACGGAGAAGTGGCCCAGGTGCTGTGAGAGGAGGCAGACACACGATCTTGACACTGCTGTTCAAGGGATGGCGTGAAGCCCCATAAACGAGGAACTTACTCCAGGGTTCTTAGCTTGGATTTTTACTTTGCCTCCAGACTTTGCATTATTGCTAAGCAAGAGAAACGATCTGAAGGCTATGTTCTTTGAAGTTTAGATTTTACTGCAGCTTGGACTGGAGGCTGAAGAGGTTGGGGGGAGGAAGACTTTTCTGGAGTTTTCTGTAATAAATATTTAAATGTGACATCAGAGAGGGGTAGAAAGAGTGGGTTAGAGAAACACCATACAGACAGACAAACCTTATTAGATTGTAGAGCAGGGAAAATAAATCCATTCAACACACTGCTTTTTTTTTTTAATTGAAGTTTGGTGATTTACAGTGTTGGTTAATTTCTGCTATACAGCAACATGATTGTTATACATGTATATAGATTCTTTCTTTAAATATTCTTTTCCATTGTGGTTTATCACAGGCTATTGAATGAGGTTCCCTGTGCTATTTAGCAGACTTTGTTGTTTATCCATTCTATATATGATTGCTTACATCTGCTAACCCCAACCTCCCACTCCAGCCCTCCTCCAACCCCCTCCTCTTGGCAACCACAAGTCTGTTCCCTATGTCAGTGAGTCTGTTTCTTTTCCACAGATAGGTTTCTTTTGTGTAGTATTTTAGATTTCACATATAAACAACACATAGTTTTAAGCACTTGATTATTTTGGAGTAATCTTTTTCTGGTAGGAGGCTGGAATCGCAGACAGAGATAGAGAAATTTGGAAGGGAAGCCCATTTTCTGGGCTCAGATGGTGGGAGCTATTATTATGTTGCATGTGAATCCATATTGATAGCACAGCTCCCAACTGGAAATGTCCCAGAGACATTCACAGGGACTTGTCCCCACAGCCACACGCGCTGACTTGATGGACATACCGGCCCCTCCTCCCGCTAAGGACAGAATAGGTTCTGTTACAGCTTTGCAGCAACCTGTTGTATCTGCATTTCTGAAAACTGTGTCGCCTTTTGCCTATTAAGTCATTATCATTCTTCACATAGAAACTTTTCACACTCCTCTAATGTTTAACCCTCTGACCTCAGAGGCTTCATTCATTAAGCACTTGCTGTTTACTTTCTGTGGATATGGCAGCTGGTGGTCAAGCACATAAGCCGGGTGGGGGCTGCGAGCTTCCCGGGGCATTCCACACCAGCCCCTCCTCAGCTCTGTCCCCAGGGCTTCAGGTGTTCCGTCAGCCTCTTGCGAACTACCTCCTGTCGCTGCCTCTACCCGCCCCTTAAACTGGCCTTGTCTGGAATAGAGTCCATCAGAGGTTCCTCCCCCACCCTCCTGGGCTTACTTTCTCCCCACTTTCCTCTGGATTCCTTGCAATCCTGGGCCCCTGCACTTAGTCTGACTGGCCTCCTGGCCCCTGAACTTGTCTCATTCTAGGAGATCTTCACATGCCATGGAAACAGAGAGCAGATCCTATTCCTCTTCTGCCCAAGTTTTCACTCTTCTCCAGGGAAGCTGGGGTTAGTCTGAAGTGTTTACAAGCCCAGGCAAGGCTCTGTGAGCGCAGCACACACTCTCCTTAGGCTCCACACCTATTCCCCTCACATTCACTGAGCAAATTTCTCTTCCTCCTCTCACTGATGAGCACCTCGGCTTTCAGGCCTGACTTCTGAGGGCCACTTTCCTTAGGCAGCCCACCCAGCTCTGCCACAGGGGTTAGGTATGTTGGCAGTGGCCAGTCCACTGGTAGCTGGGGAGCCCTCAGAAGACATACCATGATCATTCATCCTAATGCACTTTCCCACCTCTGGTAATCTTGAGCTTTTAAAGCTCGAAAATTATCTGAATCCATGGTTGGAAAGGCTACTAAGAAACCAATTTTCTTGAGCCTTTGTCTCTGGCCCTTTCACCTTTGCTGGTGGTTTGCAGTTCTTTCAGAAAGCAGTTTAGCAGATTTTAGCCTTAAAATGTTAATGGTAGGCTTCCCTGGTGGCTCAGTGATAAAGAATCTGCCTGCCAATGCAGGAGACACAGGTTCGATCCCTCGTCTGGGAAGACCTCACCTCCTGCAGAGCAACTAAGCATGTGCACAACTACTGAGCCCCTGCTCCACAATGAAAGAAGCCACCGCGATGAGACGCCTGCACATCGCAACTAGAGTGTAGCCCCTGCTCACTGCAACTAGAGAAAAAGCCAGTGCAACAATGAAGACCACACATGGCCAAAAAAAAAAAAAAGTTAATACTGAGACCTAATAATAGGAAAAAACTCAGTGTCGAGAAATGTGCATTGTGTTGTTCTTTACAATAGCAAACATGATTAGGATGTCCCGTGAAAGGGAAATAGTTACAGTTGACATTTCCAACAAATGATCTCTGGGTATGAATAATACAAGACTATGTTAAGTAGAAAAGGAAGAAAAATCTGATCCAAAATGGTTAGGTGACATGACCACAAATATATAAAAAGTCATTGGAAAAGACCCTGATGCTGGGAGAAGGGGGCGACAGAGGATGAGATGGTTGGATGGCATTCTTGACTCAATGGACCTGAGTTTGAGTAAACTCTGGGAGACAGAGGACAGGGAAGCGTGGGTGCTTCTGTCCATGGGGTTGCAAAGAGTCAAACATCACTTAGCATCTGAACAACAACAACAGCAACATAAAGAGTGCAAAGGAAAAAAACTGAGAGAGGTGTCAAGAAATTATCTTTGTGAATGTAGAGGAGAGTTTTGAGTAACAATTTGCAATGCGGTATTCCAGTGCCCTAAGGTGAATGTTAATCGTAATAAAAATGGCAGCAACAATGTCTTCAACAAAACCAGCTAACTAGATACTTCTCTACTTCCTTGGCTAGTATATCTCAGACTACTTTTGGTCTCCCCCCTCCACAGTTTGAAAATCTGAACACGGTTGCTGAGTGTCTGTTTTCTCTGGTCAACGGTGATGACATGTATGCGACCTTTGCTCACATCCAGCAGAAGAGCCACTTGGTGTGGCTGTTCAGTCGCCTGTATTTATATTCCTTCATCAGCCTTTTCATATACATGATTCTCAGCCTTTTCATTGCACTTATTACAGACTCTTATGACACCATTAAGGTAAGCAGTTATCATTATTTCCTACCAAAAACTATTGCAAATTCTGTATAGATTGAAGCATAGGGAAATACTATAGTTTTTTACTTACTTAAAATACTATTACTTAGATTTTTGAGATTTTATAGAAAAGGAACTTTTTAGATGCTGGAGGTTCATTTTAAATATGCATTTAGGACATTGTCCTTGGTGCCCAGATTGGGGTGGACTGGTTTGGAGGTGTAGTGGGAAAGAGAAAGGGAATGGGTAAAGATGGGCCTGCCTGCCGGCTAAGTTGCTTCAGTCGTGTCTGACTCTTCGTGACTCTGTGGACTATAACCCGCCAGGCCCCTCTGTCCATGGGATTCTCCAGGCAAGAATACTGGAGTGGGCTGTCATACTCTCCTTCAGTGGATCCTCCTGACCCAGGATCAAACCCTCGTCTCCTGCATGGTAGGCAGATTCTTTACCACTGAGCCACAGGGGAAGCCCTTAAGAATGGACTGAATTTGGTAAATCAGGTAGTTGGGCTGTGGACCTTAGTGCTTACAGGCATATCTGCCTGTCCTGGAACTTTGGCTTTGAGTGCTAAGTTTCAGTGATAAGGGGTGACCATCTTCCTGACAACTGTCCACGTGTGGGCACACCTCAAACACTGGATGCCGCTCGTGTGATGCAGGTTTCCTTTAAGTTACAAAATCTAAGGCTTTTGTGGCCGTTTAGCTTCTTCCCTTCCCAAGCTACCCAGTGGACCCTGTGTCCTTTCAGACCGGGTCCATTTAACTGATCTGTAGCAGGAAGGAAGTTCTGTAGCCTCGGGCGGTGGTGTCCCGACCACCTGTCGGGCAGCAGGTGGTCGTACTTGGAGCCAGCACCCTGTTTGGGGCCAGCATCTGAGCAAGCAGGGATTCCATATCCGTGTCCTGCGGCGTTGTCCTCTTCTTGAATCTTCTCAGGCTATCCCAGAACAAGCCAGTCCATTGGAAATACTCCTGAGCATTTTGTGCAGAAGGAGACACATGTTCCTGTCGGGATGGGTGCTTGGCTCCAGGAGGGCTAGCGGTGGGGAAAACAGCCAGGCCTCCTAATATGGGTGTTGTCCTTGGATCTGGCAGTGTCCCTTTGAGGGCTCCAAGCCTTGGTGACCTGGTGGGTTATCTCACTGAACATGAGGGGAAGGGTCTCTCAAGAGTCTCTGTGTCTGCTTGGAGGAACCTACTGCCTTCTACCTCACTAAGCGACCAGCTTCTATAAAACTTCCCAGCCCGACTCCCTGTGGCAGTGTGGGGAAGGGCTTGCAGTGAGCACGAGCTTTAGACTGCTATTTCCTTCACTCCTTTAATTAACACGCCTCTAGGTTCCTTGGTGGCTCAATGGTAGAGAATCTGCCTGCCAGTGCAGGAGATGGGGTTACATCCCTGGGTCAGAAGGATCTCCTGGAGAAAGAAATGGCAACCTACTCCAGTATTCTTGCCTGGGAAATCCCATGGACAGAGGAGCCTGGCAGGACATGGCTTAGTGACTAAACCATAACAACAACAACCTTTTCCCCACTAAGGCTTGCTTTCTGGAGTTTTCCTCCGAATGGCTCTCTGTTCCCACGGTGGCCCTGGCTTGGCTTTCAAGGGACCCAGAGATTGATTGATTATTGTTAATATCAGTTCTTGGATCTGAGTTTGCAACGTGGGAGAGTTTTATTTTAGGAGAGGTGGGTTTGGTTCGTTGACAGAGGGAGCAATTGCTTATGCTGTATAAATAAGCTAACCACACTGTGTACTTTTTAAAGAAATACCAACAGAATGGGTTTCCTGCCACGGATCTTCAGGAATTCCTGAAGGAGTGTAGTAGCAAAGAGAAGTGTCAGGAAGAGTCACCAGCTTTCCTGTCCAGCATCTGCTGTCTGAGGAGGTCAGTATTGTGTCGAGTCAGGTCTCATCCCAGGATGAGATGCTCTGTTGCCTTAACAAAGAGTCCTCCCAGGGCAAACGCTGCACTCAGAAATCAGCTGATTGGAGGAAACAATGCAGCCTTACTTTCTTTCCTCCCACTGGACTTGGCTTTAGAAATCTATTGTTTCTTATAAAAGGTACAAAGGTACATGACATGGTTGGAATCTCTTGGGAATGTTAAAGCCTGTTATGAAAAGGCATGAACTATGTCCCTGAAGTCAAGAGGGTGGGCTGGCCACAGGAAGAGGTCAGAATCCTTCATTTACAGGTGTAGCTCCAGGAATGTCAAAGATGTTTTCCCCTTTTCACAATTGGTGGTACAAGTAACCTTCCTTGAGCAGAGAAGAAAATCTGCTTGAGAGGGCCTCTGTGTGTCCTTGGCTGCAAATACAAATCAGTTTCAATGACTCTTCGCTCACCATTGATCGGGGCACTTACATAAATAGTCTGGACCTCAGTGGCAAAGCCTCTGCACAGTGGGTTGGGGACGAGAATGGGGGACATATGAAGATAATCTTCTTAACTGTGCCCATGTTTGTTTTCATCTCAAGTCAGGGATGGGGGTTGTTAGCTAGAAGTATCCCCGACTCACGTCTTTTGAGAAGCATTCGCTAAACCAGTCCTGAAGGAAGAGGAAGAACATAATTGCTACTTAAAATCACAGGATGTATTTTTCATTAATCAATTCGTACTACATCTTGGGATTTGAAATGGTATGATGGAGCACTTCTAAATAACGTCTAGTAAATATGAAATGAGATCTTCTGAGAAGAGTTAAGTTTTTACAATCACATTTTATCCTCTCAGAGCATTAAAATGTTGCCATGGAAGCAGGGATAAAGGGAAATTAATTTTCTTAATAGGCAGCTGCCTCCTAAGGGGTACCTTACATAAGGATCCTTTTCTAATTAGAAAGTTGCTTTTCTAATATGTAGTTAACCATAAATTAAAAAAAATCATCTCAGAATGTAAAATAGTTGTGAACACTGGACAGTAATGGACAGGCTTTTGGTGCTTGATCTTTGTACCAGAAAGAGCCCCAGAGGGCTGTTAGATGATTTCTTGTGCAGCCATATGAAACAAGTGAAAGATTTAAAGAGTGAACTGCAGGACTGATTGATCAGATTGAGTCTGGCTGGTGAGAATGGAGCAGCATCAGCAGGCAGTTTTCCCTAAGATGAACTAAGACTTGTGTCTGGTGCGAACAACAGTCTGCTCATTTCTTAGTGAGCAATGAGAGAATGAGTAGAACAGGAGGGTCAACCAAAGGAAACAGAGTGAAGAACAGGATGTTGAAAGTTTTGAAAAAAAGAGGAGATCAAAAATAGAAACAGAAGTGGCTATTACCAAAGATGGCCATGGGTGAAGTTGGCTTGATCGGTTTTAGCTGAATAATCGGATCAAAGCCTGGATTCCAGGGGGATCTGGCTGGACCCTGCATAGAAACAATGAAGGTCATAGGGTCTAATGAAGGAAATGGGTTGTACTGAGCCCTTGGAACAAGTGACGGTTTTGAAATCATCGAAAATTAAATATACCTGGATGTGTTTAACACAGCTGGAAACTTAAGAATGAAATAAAATTGAGAAAGGTGACAATTCTATGAATCTAGGACTCACTTTATGACTGGAGAGTACATGCTGGAGAAGAACCATAAAGGCATCACAAGTATTGGTGTCTGGGCCCCTCTCCAGTGCCCATGACATACAACCCAAGTATCACAGCTCTGCCTCCTGCAGAGTACGGCCAGGTTGCTCTTCTTCAAAAAAAGCAGCCCAGCAACCACCACAGACTCATTCTCTCTTGAATAATTGACAGAGCCTCTAGCCTGATGGTCAGAACACCTGGGTTTTCATTTTGGATCCTGCCAATTACTGAATGTGTCCCATGACCTTTCCTAAGCCCCTGGGTCCCTCTGTGGTATCATTAGGGTGGAACAAGTAGCCTCTGCATCCTCTTCTGGTTCTATGGGGAGGTATGCTTCTGGTCTGGTTCTCTGGAGGGGTGTGCTGGTTTGAGAAGATGAGGTTAATCTTTTCCCTTCTCTACCATAGTGAAGGAGGAAAATCTGCAGTTCTAGCCATGGAGATGGAGGGTGGACAGCTCCTCAAAATTGCCAGAAGCATCTAGTCAAACCCCCAATAATGTAAATTGTCCTTAAGTTTTCTTCCACTTATATGTTGCACTCAGCATGTCAGTAACTTATGTATGCCTACATCATAGAGCATGTATTCCTGTTCCATCTCAAAGAGTTTTAAGTTATTGCTCTCTTTACTTCTCCCCCTTTCTGTTACAGGAATAGAAGTGATGACCACTTGATACTTATTAACTAAAATCCTCCTGCTGACGATGATCAAGTTTCAGGTCTCCATATTGAATGACAATGTAGAGGGGTCCCAAATGGCTTGGACCAGCACTTCCAAAAACACCGATTGTGGATGGGGAAAGAGGACTGTCAGCTGGCTGAATAGAACTGAAGTTCCAAAGTTCCTTTTTATAAACTTGAATCATGAAGAACAGACCACAGTCACCTCCTGGGCATTAGTGTCATAGATCAGTGACAGTGAAATTCTGTCTTGGTCTTTGAAATTATGATGTCATATTTCAGAGTGTGTAAAACAATGGTATTTAAAACCATGTATTTAAAGATGTGAGTTTATCATCAAATACAGGTTTGTCTTAAAGTGATTCTTGGGTGAGAAGACATTTATTAATCCATGGTCTGCACAAAACAGAAACTGGTTGCACTACCAACTTAGAAACTCAATGCTGGAGAACTATCAAGCCATGTAATGCACTTAAATCAACAAAAAGACCTCTTGCAGTGGACATCTCTCGGCCTATGTTTTCCTATGGTCTTCTCAGGATGATCTGAAGAAACTGTTGGTAAAGTCAGTGGGAAGAATTGGAAACTAAGTTGTTGGCCACCTTGTCACTTGTGCTCCTTGTTGAGTGTATACCCCGGACATGTGGACATTATACTACAGCACTGGCCTCTCACTTCAACACCTGAACTCCACTGTGGTGGGGATTCACTCTTGTCAAGCAAGGAAGGTGGTATTTTTTCCCCCCAAATAAATTAAATTTATTTTTATCATAACATATGGAACTATTGGACTTCCTGGTGGCTCAGACGGTAAAGAATCTGCAATGTGAGAGACCTGGGTTCCATCCCTGGGTTGGGAAGATCCCCTGGAGAAGGGAACAGCTACCCACTCCAGTATCCTTGCCTGGAGAATTCCATGGACAGAGGAGCCTGGCAGGCTACAGTCCATGGGGTCACAAACAGTCAGACACAACTGAGGTCTATACACAAAATGCTTTGCTAAACTTATCATTTTAGTTATAAATTTCTTTACTTAAAAAAAAAAATGTTGAGTTACATTCAACTTTTAAATTAAAGACTGTTTAACCCGTGGTTCTAGGGTCATCCCCATGCAGAAGCAGTGTGCAATTAGATCACTTATTCACTCCGAATATACCCCTAGTACATCATTTTTCTCTGAACAGAATTGCTATTAATGCCTTTTATACAATTTGAATCGAAGATTAATGATGGTCTTCCATGCTTATGTTTTTCTTTCATTGGCTTTCATGTTTCCTTTTATTTCTTTTCCCTCCAGCTGAACAAAACACTTTCAGGAAGAAAAATCTTTTTTCAAGGTTACCCTGTGTCTGTGGAAACATTGTTTTCTCTCTTTTTAATGATTTTAAACAATTGTCACCTTGACAACTCTGTTATCTATTTGGATTTTATTGAAAAATATTTTCTTATAACTCGGCTAATAGACATATCTGGGACAAACCATTTTCTTTCCTTCCCTAGGCTTCCACTTGGAAAGTTCACTGTGAAAGTTAGGAGACTCAGTCTTTCTGCCTCTTGGTTTCATTATGGGATCCCAGTTCTTATAGAACATACCTCTATGGCTTGCAATGACTTCCTCAAAGCCTGATGTAACATTCTTAGGCCTATTGACTTGGGCTGGTAAGCAAAGGTCATGGGTGACTTTCACTTCATTGAACTACTACTAATTTTTTTAATGTACTCTTTCTTAACATCTACCTAATGAAAAAATCATATCACATCTCTATCAACATACTCTCTGGTCTTCAAAAGGGATTGCTCACTTTCTTAAAAGCAGTGAAGGAGAGAGAGGGGCTAGTTTGTAGGAATTAATAAATATTTATGATAATGACTTGAGATTAAGATCACTTCATGCATAGATTTAGTTCATACCTGAACTATCTTAGGGGTCAACTATTTTAAAGTTACTGGTGAAGAGTAAGATTTTAATTAAGTAGAACTCTCATTACAGGACTCTCCCTTATTGTCTCCTGCTCCTCCCCATCAAGCCCCTCCCAGGATTTTTCTGGTCCCCCCACTTCTCTCTGCATACACCCATACTTTCATCATGTGTCCATACCACGTCTAGATAGCTAAAATCCCAGCTTACTCTGAACTTTGGTGCCTGGGCAAGTTACTTCCAGTTTCTAAGTGATGAAACCTCAATAAACGGTGGGATTGGCATTTAAGTCAGGTAATTCATGCGAAGCCTGACGTTGAACATTGAAACCTGAGCCATTCTTAGTTTTTATTTTCTGCCACGTTTGTATTAATAAGTAGGTTCCATGAAATCATGGGGGAGTGAAGATGTTAAGCCATTTAGTTTGCCAGGGTGCCTGACCTCCTACTATCTGAGTCTCCTTGGACAGGTCACACCAGCCTTGGTTTCTTCATCTGTAAAGTGGGGATTGCAGGGATTAAATGAGTCAAATGTAAAGTGAGTAGAACTGGGCATGCCTTATAAGTGCTCAGTGAATATTGGATCTTCCAAAAGCTTTTCTTGCGTGGTCTACACATGTACAAATCTATCACCTCGGCAAGCCAGGAAGATCTTTACTTTGAAGAGAGCTCACCACACAGTTTTGGTGAACTTTGTTAGGCCTGTAGGTGAGTAAATACCCACATCCATCTTTGTCCTGGAGGCAAAGATCAATTCAGTGTCTAAAGCTCAAGCAGTTGTGGAGGAGCCTGTGGACCTCAACAGCCTACAGGCCCTGCCCTCGGGGCAAAGCTGTCAGTAGGATGGGTGGATAAAGGTCCCCGAGGTTCAGAAGTGTCACAAATCCCCAGTCCTTCACCCTGAGACCCCCTGCGCCCATCCTCAGCTAGGAGCCCACTGCCTTAACCAAATTTGTCAGAAGGTGTGCAGTACTCATCAGCTATTGCTGATCTGATGTAACAAATGTGGAAAGGCGAGAAAGGGTCTTCAGGAAAAGGTTTTCCTAAAAATCTTTTAGGAAGGTTTTCCTTCCTTCAGCCCCTGCTGAAGGCTCACATTGTAACAATTGTGGGAGGGGTGCCTGACCTACCCCTCACCCCCTTCCAAGGAGGCCTCAGCTCAGCATCTCAGGTTGATGAGAAGCACAGTGACCCAATCTCTTGATTACTAGCCAGACACCCTGTGGTTCCTGAGAGCCTCCCGGTAAAAACAGCCCAGCACTGTCTCTGAGGTTCAGGGTCCCTGGAGTCATTGGGAAAGTATGTTCCCCAAGTGCCTACTATGGTCTTGGCCATGGATTGCTCCAGCCAATATAAAGAGCTGTGATGCTTAGAGGTCCAATTCCAGCTACCTGAATCACTCAATGTGTGGTGGCTGCTTTTTCCAGCGACATTGGATAACTAGATTGCATTTTGCTACTCTCTAGTTCCACATTTATTTTCATGTAATTTGAGCAAATTTTATTTTTCTACCCCTGACTTGAAGTTTAAATATCTCAACCACAGTATTCCAGTGGTGTGGAATCTTTCTCTAACAAATATCTAGAATTTCACATACTTGTGGAACATGCAGAAAGGAGCTCTTGTGTGACAGGGTGATTGAGGACCTCAAAGACAAAATCCTGAGCACGGCTTCTGGATCTTGGGCACTATAGGAAGGACAGTGAATAATCGCAATGAGAACTGGTACTAGAGGAGGGCTGAATACTTCTGCCTCCACCCCACCCCCCCGCACCTTTTTTTTTTTCTATTTGAGAGGTTCCGAGCCCTCAACACTGACAAAAGGCAGCTTCTTGGTTGTGTGATCTGTCCTTTTGAGAGGACTTCACACTTGGTTTAATGTTCTTCCCTGATAGTCTTGAAATTCTCTTTTTTTTTTAAGATTTTTTCATTGAATTTGTTACAATATTGCTTCTGATTTATGTTTTGGTTTTTTGGCCACTAGCCATGTGGGATCTTAGCTTCCCAATTAGGGATTGAACCTGCAACCCCTGCACTGGCAGGCGATTTCTTAACCACTGAACCACCAGGAAAGTCCCATTTCAATATTTTTTGAACATGGGGCCACACAAGTGATGCAGCAAATTCTGCTGATTGGACTGAGTAACTCAGTGACTAACAATGATTAAAGCATAGCCTTTTAGGAAAAGGCTAGCACTGTAGTTTTTCTTCAAAACAATTGACATTTAACGAAAGGAAAGAATAAAGCTGATGGGAATTATTTTTTAATAGAATTTCGGATGCATCATTTTTTTCAGTCTCTGATTTTGCAAATAAGTGACTATAGGGTGGCTTCTCATCTCATATCTTTGTTTCACAGATTAAACTTCTGTGGTTGGTGATATTAGCTAATATCATTTCCATGTCACACTGGCATTTTGGAGCTGGACTTCTCACCTTGCCCCCTTTCTCTGCACACCCCCTTCTCCCCAGCAATGAAGAGTCTCATTTTCCAAATTTCCACTTCATATTTTTCCCTTGACAGAGAATCGACTTAAGGTGGTTCTTCTAAACTCGAGCATGTTTGCCCAGTAGCTATATGGCCTTCAACCTGGCTCAACAAAGTCCTCTGGGACCTGCTCCTCCCACTGGACAATCAAGCACTTTGTCCAAGCTCTTTGCAGCCATTTACATTTAGAATGAAAGACGGTCTTTGAATGGGAAGCTGTAGAATTGTTCAGCATGCTGTGTATTAACATAATAGCACTGGGAAAACTTCAAGATAAACCAAATCTCAAAATAGACACTCAAGTTGTTCGGGAAAATAATACAACTCATGGCTGTTCTACCAGGGGCTTCTTTACAGCAAATGAGGCTGAAAACCAATGGGTGAAAATGATGGCCAGTGTTTTTCTTGCCATCTCACTCTCCCAGAGAACCAGGGAATGAATGAGAAAATAAATGGGTACACACGAACATCTCCACACCAGCTGATGTAACAAGGACAGCTAAACTCTGATTTTCCAAAGACTCCTGGGAGCTATCGGCTGTGGTGGATGGAAGAGACAATTTGTTACCATGATATATGTTTCTTAGCTTCTAATGATACAT